GATTGCTACCATCACCATGCAATTTAAAACATTAGATCTATCAAGTTTCATATGTTAAAGATGCATTGCGTGTAACTGTTATGGTGGAGCTTCATCAAATGCTTTCTCCTTGAACATGTTATTCTTTCTTGTGAAATGTTTCACAGTATGGTATTACACCTTTGTATAGAGACTAGAGACTAAACCAGACCTAGTTACAGGTCAGATCCGTGAAGAGGTAACTAAATGTAAGGACGCCCAAGCAAAAACTTACATAGGGCACCTTTAAGTCTCTGGATCCTGATTGACTGTATACCTTCTGTTGAGTGTGTCCTCCTCAGTATCACTTGTAAATCAGTGCAGTTACAAGAGAAGCCCGGTGACTTAGAGGCAAACACAGCAGTCCGTCTTCATTCCCTCTGGCTCAATTATCCGGGCTTGTCTGGCTGTTGTTTGTTGTCTGAAAAATTCACCTCACTTCTACTAAATCTATCAGTGCCTGTACTGCCCTGCACTGACCCAGACTGCTGTGTTAAGAGTCACACACATATATACAACCACACCAATTTGTATTCATAAACCAAAGGGGATATTTTGATTTTTATGGGAAATAATGGTCTAGGTCTGTAGTTCTCTTTTTCACCTAAAGTAAGCTTTACTTCAGATAGTGGTACTCATTAATTCGGCTGAGCAAATACACCTCTTTACTACACAGATGCCAATTATTATATTCCTGTTTTAATAACACTGATGTGTATAATCCTGCAAATTTTTAAACTACTGCAGCAGCTTTTCTAATAGCTTGGTAATTACTTTTTTGTTTTGTAATGTTCTTGTCTGGTTTTAATATCTTGAGTATTATTACCATTTATATTTTGTTATAATATATTGTGATGTGTGAACTACTATATCCAAAACATGTCCCTTGTGGATCAATAAAGTTTGTCTAAGTCTAAGTAAAAGTTCAAAAGTTATCATCAATCAAAATGACATGTTTGCCTGCAGTATCCAATTTATAAACTATTGAATGATGTTTGTTTACATGTTAGATGTTCAAATGTCTGAATCCAGGTGGTTTGTCTAAAACTGAAATAACACTAGAGAGACAGTTTGAACAGTAAAATGAATGGCAGTCTGCCTCCTCAGTTCATGGGCACAGTGAAGTGAATGCTTTAAAGAGCTGAAATACTGCAGCAGATGTCTGAGTGGAGAGGAGTTCACGATAGAGCCAGAGGAATGCGGAGAGACTGTGCCACTCGGCTGCACCGTGCTCATTCTTTTATAGATGAACAAAGGCGATGAGCTGCTCTATGACACCAAGATAGAGGCTATAAACTTTACTGGTTTGCTGCAGCAGTTTCAGTGTAATTAGGCACAACACAGCAGAGGCAAAAACGCCCCATAGATGCTGCTCAATGCATAGGGCTCTGTGGAAATAGGAAAGTATAAAGAATGGCTATCTCATGGGACAAGCAATAATCTCATTCATTGAACCAAATAAGGACTTCCAAATGGGACAATGTCTTTATTTCTAGATTAGATAATTTGAATTTGACCCCTCCTTTCATATCACAAGGAGCAGTGTATCACAACAGGGGCTTTCATTTGATCTTTGTCACAACAAGTAGCAGGAAGATTAGCCTATTGGTTAGTGGTCTTTATTACATACTTTGGCTTCCTCCAATTTTCCAAGGGATTCATGTGTGTGGCAACATGGCCCCTATATGAACTCCATCTAAAAATCAGTAATGGAAATGTTGATTCCCACAACCTGATTATTGGAGCCATACAATCAGTATGAATGGAGGCTAAAAGTTTACTTGACAAATAAATACAAATAAAAAAAAATGTGGTAAGAAATTGTCAACATTCTCCTCCAAACATATGTTCATTTTCAAAGTAATTTGACAGTCCAAACCCATCCAGTGACTCACACTCTATTTCTATCCCTGGTCAAAATCCCATTCCAACATCAATAACTTTCCTCACAGAGTAATTCCACCAGCAACGCCAAGTCAAACAAATTGGCATCTGGAGGAGTGCAAATACAACAGAGGAAATAAGAAGAGGTCCCCATCTCCAGAGCAGCATTTGTCACGACTTTTCACTTCAAAAAATGCGTGCCATATATTCATATTAGAAGAAGGCAGACGAATGCCCACTTGATATGCAGATGAGAGGGATAACTTATTCATAGATTCGAATTCAGACAAGACTTTACCAGTGCCCATTACGCGTGTCGTGACCACCTTATGTGCAGTCTTTGTCTCTCAGTAGGTGTGGATGTGCGCTCCGACTCATGAAAAGTCATTACACATGGCACCAGTGTTGACACAGAGTCAAGTGGCTTACGTCTGACCCATCTGCTCGTGCTACACACGCGCAACGCACAAACAGAAATGATACAGAAATCGTGCGTAAAAGGACCGACTCGTACTTGGGATAATCCACTGGAGACGCACCCAAACTAGAATTAATCTCGATAATAAATGCCATTCATAAAGAACTATGAGGCCTACTCAAATTTGCCGTAGCAAGACTCCAATTGTAATTGAAGTCTGAGTTTGCTTATGCATGAGAAGAGCATATGGTGAGTGGAACACACGGGGTTTAGTAGGATTATCTGGTAACCTAATGAACGTGAACTATCCAGTTGGTGCACGGATCAGGTGACTTGTGGAGCGAATTAAAAACCTGTCTTTGTGGCTGGACAAACAGAGGATTTGTGTGTGGAAAATTAATTACCGTCGCCATCGCCATGGGCCTATAAGTGAACAGCGTGCGCTTAGACATAAATAGACTCATTTTAAAAGACAGCTGCTCACTCCACGTTAAGTGAACATATGCATCCTGTCACTGAGGAAGTCTCGTCGCTGGTTAGGAAGAAGTCTTCTCCAGGCCAATGCTAAATTCATCTCATCTGTTTCTAGTCTACGTGACAACAGCTGTATCGTCATGCATATTCTGCTGTCATTAACGCAGTGAGCGGAGCGCTGCGAGGGTCTATGATTATGGTAATAACGGGGCTTGATGACTTGGCGAACACAAGTGACTGGAGGAAACGCCAAGAGATACTGAGGCGGAAACTTGACTTCTATGTATATGCTGCCATCTGCTGGTTACCTAAAACATTACACTATAGACAGTAGACCCATATTACACTATTTTTTGATTTATTATAATGTTGTGTCTTCATCACAAGCATTGTTTGTTGTGCTTTGTTTGTTTTACACATAAACCCTGCTTATTTTTTACAAGTTTTTCTCTCAGGTTGAAAACACTCCACGCCATCTTGTGATGTCATGTGGTAATACAGGAACTGGTCCAACATGCTTTTAAATTCCATACACGTTCACTAGAAGTATTTGGATGATTTCAGATGTGGGATTACACATCTCTACTGAACTAAAGGTAAAGGGTAGCTGTTAACATGAAAACTTCTGCTTCATAACGTCACAAGATGGAATAGAGCATTATGAGCTTTGGAGATGTGGACAGACTCAAACATGTGTGAATAAAACAAACAAAACTGTAGCTGCTTTGATGTGCCCCCATTGAGGACGGGGAAGGGGGATTCCTTGCCGATGTCTTGTTGATTTGAGCTACCTAGCGCTGCTGAATGTGCGCACAAATCCGTCGATTTGAGCTCCCAAGGCAGAAGTGGAGGAACAAGTAACATTGTAAAAGTGTAGTGGTTTTATTGTATGTTTTAACCAGTTAAGCATCACCCTGTGCATGTTAGATTTGTGGCAAAATACCTGCATTAGATGATTGAATAGTTTGGTTTTAATGTTTGATTTAGTAATTTTCATTACTTTTTATTTTATTGTGTAGAAAACATTGTAACTTTGTTTAGAAAGGCACTGTAGAAATAAAAAAGCACTATATTATAATAGGATATTCACACTGTAGCCTATAATATTTATTTAATGTAAAGATTTCAGTGTTTCCAGTAGTGTCTTTCTCTTATATAGAAGGAGTCTTATTTGATAGAAGCTATAGGCCTGTCACAATGAGCTACCTATACCCAAAATCATATAAATGAGTAAATAATGGTGATTCTATAGTGGGAGCATTATTCAATGGCTAAATTGGCTTGTCGATATGTGCTACCTTTAGTCCGAGTTTGTCCAAATGAACTACCTACACATATACATATAAATGAGTTGAAACTGTATATAACTAAGATATAAAGTGTGATCACCGTGTGCAAACAGCATCAAACCCGCTGTCTCTAATCCAAAGAAATGTGTTGTAAAACTGGAGAAGTTCACTTTATTGGATCTATACAACTTTATGTGGAAAAAGTATCTTATTTCAACGGGGTAGCGTGAATCGATAAACGTCACTGACAATCTAGGCTGCAGGAGCTCAGCTCGACGGGGCAGCTCATTTCAACAGAACACCGGAGATGGATTGGGGAGCGACAATCGTAGTTTTGCGAGAATTCACGTGGCGCCCCCGCAAGCGATTGATGCTCTACGCGCTGTGTGCAATGTGCTCTAGCTAATTTTGTGTAATATAGGACTTTTAAATGTACTGAAGAAGTTTTTAATTAGTAAATAAGAAGTTGTTTATGAGAGATGGCTTTCTAATTTACCAAGCCAGAATCACATACTTTGGCAAAACAGAATGTAGAAGGCATTGGCTGGTCAGGCAACTTGTAACTAAACTGTAATTAAACTAATCACTTCTTGACACTATCTTTTTATGGAGCACAGGCGCTTGAGTATTAAGTTGGCAACTAAACCTTGATCACAGCATGAGTAAAGGGCACAACAATATAATACAAAGCAACATAATGAATAATTTAAATTTAATTTTATTCAGATTTAGAGCATTTTAGAAAATATACTCATTTTCAAGCCTGTAAAATCTAAAACTATAATTTATCCACATAGTGACTTAAGTATTCTTGAGTTACTACATGGCTCAGGAAATGTGTAGAATTAATTGAGAGATTAATTCTACACATTTCCATCATCTGCATACATACACCAACAGCATACATTACAAACACACATATTAAAGTATATATATATATATTTTAAAATAAAAACATGATTGTTACCATAGAGGTTAGTGCAGATTTAGTATATACAGTTCATTAGAATACACATCGAAACTCACATAGTCACAGATTGTCAGGAAAAGACAGACTGATTTGAAAACAGTTTAGAGGGAATGTGCACAGATAATAAACAGTTTGTGAAGAGCGTTAAAACTGTGATGTGCAATTTATCATAGACACAGCTTCCAACTTACTATCCATGGGTTTCAGAATTATGAAAGATGATTGCCATGGTAATTAACAATTTTAAACAAAATATTTTGTCTGCTAAATGGTGAAAAGACTTCAAAAGGTCACATATATTAGAATGCTGAAACCCATAAACAGGCCTGAGAAATCAGTGCAAGTGCAACCAGTATAAGAAATATGAGAAAATAATGTTAAGGTCACATGCATTTTAAAACAACTAGTGTCTACGTGGTTCTAAAAAAGTCCACAGAGCCTAAAAGCTGGTCTCCCTCCAGTCCTCTCTGTTCAGCTCAAACTTTCCTCCTGTGGACTCACACCGTCATAAAGCATCACTGTGCTGGGGACTGTCATAACCTGCACAAAACACACACAATACACACATATTAGCTCAGGAGAAGCATCCATTTTGAGCTGTTCATAGAATATTGACATCTCAATAAAAAATAAAAAATAAAATAAAATCATATGTTTTAATTACATAAAAACTACTTTAATAAGTGGGTCATCAGTCAGTCAGTTAAAATAGGTCACAAAATAGCACAATTCCATTCTTCTCTTTACTTCTGAGAAACAGAATAACAGTTAGTCATCAATAAGCCTGACTGATACAGAATTCCCTAGATAGCAATATAGCCATGGGTTTCACAGGCACACAACAGCTACTGATATTATTGTTGGCAAAGACTGTTTTTTAACAATATACTATTTCTCAATCAGGTTAAGGTATAAGGATTAGGGTTAGAGTTAAGTTTAGGAACAGGTTTAGGGTAAAGTTTAGAACAAATATTATCTGTGCCCTAAGCATATTTTAGTAGCATAAATCAGACATTCTGGTTGTTTTGATAATATATGTGTTTTCAAAATAAGTAGCTTCATTTTTCCCCCATCATTAAATCTTTCTGCATCGCTCTAAATTTTTATCTTCCCAGAAAAAAAAAAAAAAAAAAAAAAAAAAGATGTATACTTTAAAGATAGCTGTCAATTATCTCTTAGAGTAAGCATTGATATGAAAAAGAAATCAGTCAAATTAAAGCAGACTTTTAGAGACTTAAATGCAGGAATGATAAGGTTCTTGTCTGGAAAGATTACTCAGACCCAGCTGCCAGCCAACCACAGCAATGGCATTTGGAAAACAGCCATCTTTAAATTATGGTTTGTGGAGGGTGCTATTTGGTAATCATGAATAAAACTATGACAAGCATGCTTTAAATACATAGGGTATGACACACTCGCAAAAAAAGTTTGCCCCAGTGAACCATATAATTAGAATTTCTTAAAAATTGTTATATCATTTCTGACAGAGGTGGAAAGTAGATACTTTATTTGGAAAAGGAAAAAATCTCAAATACACACCATTCAAGCCAACCATTATGACAACCTAACTTATACGCACTCCCCTACCAATTAACTGTGATGTGCAAAAAATTATAATAACTAATAATATACTCAGTGAGCAATAGCAATAGGGCAATAGAGCAATAGCTCTTGTATTGTATTTGACCAGAGTATTCAATCAACTACTAAAATTGTTACAGTATTTGGATTCCAAATAACTATCATACAAAACTGGTCTAAAACTAAAATAGAATATGTAATATAAACCGGTTATAAACATTATTTAATTCACATACAAAACACATTTAATATGTTTAAAGAATGCATAACATGCACAAAATAAAGTCTAGCAGTTGAAAACTGCCACATACTATAATGTTCTGTGATGAGGAGACATCATAGAGACCTGTTGTGGTCATAATGGTTCAGTGTACTTTTGAAATAATATGATTTTTACTGAAGAACATACAGTACTCTCTTCACCTCTAGTCTATTGAATCATACAGTGCACACAGGCAAAGAGAAGGATACACAGATACATACACCTGGGCCCTGGAGGGTAGTCCAGAGATCTGTTTCTGTACTGAGGGAGGCAGGGTTTTTTCACAGGGAATCTGAGATCTGAGGACCTCTGCAGATCGTAGGGTCTGTCTTGTTCTATGCCTGCACGGAAATGGCATGAGAAACAGGTATGTGGTGGTGGAGGGTGCAATTGGGTTTGAAAGGGACAGGGGATAAAGCAGGACATATACAACTAATCATGCAGCAAAACAAACTATATTAGGGATGTCAACATTATTATTGTTATTTGGTTAATTGATAGTTGTGATTAGTCACAATAAAACAATAATAATAAAAAAAAATTAAAAAAATTTTATTTCATAAAGCTGCTCATATAGAGGATTGGTAAACTAAGACAATGTGAATGAAGTTAATTTAAGGATTAGTTTGGTCAAGGTGTGATTAATCGTAAAACTACATCTTTCAATAATTGTAATGCTAATACTATATTAGTGATATTGTGACATCGCTAATATATATGGGGACACAGGGTCACATAATTCTGTGTTTTCAGCATCAATGTGCTGAAAACATTACAAACAATGGGAAACAGTCTTTGTCTCATAACAAGGCAGAATGAAGAAAAATATGTAAGGTGCTTATGTAATACGTTTATATTGTTTTAAATATTATGTGAGTAAGTAAAGATGTTTGAAAATAAATCTGTACAAATAAAGTAATGATGTAATGGAAGTAGTGCAACAGAAGTAATTCTGATAGTAGTAGTAATAGTTGTAGTAGTAGAATCATAGTAGTATTTGCAACTCTAATAAAACAAATGAAACATATAAAAAGAGACCAAATAGCATGCATATAACAGACTAAATGCATGCTTATTATAGACATAAATTAAAAGTGGTACATGCAATACCTATGTCAAATGAGTTGGACTTCCTGGTGAGATGAAATGGGATTGGGTTTCCGCTATGGCCCTCTCCTTCCTCTAATCAGTACAAAATTATATTCATAAAATTAGCATTTCATTGCTATCAGATTGTACTATTTTAAATTTGAAAGCTTGGTACTGGATTCAAAATTCAAAATGTGCCACCTTGAATGACTCCAGGGCTCACTCTCTCTGGCGCAGGGGGACTTCTGCTCTCCACTCGTTCTTCTTGTAAATAGGACAGGTTTCGGTGTTCGGGGACTGTGTCTTCGCAAGGACTCCCGGGGGAGCTTTTGGACGAGGACATTTCCGAGGAGGATTTGTCTCTTGATTGATCAAGAATGGTCTGCAGAATGAATCCAAAATGTAGTTAGGCCTTGTGGACACACTTCCCCTGGTGCTGTACTTTGTAAACTCACTTGGTTTGGAGTAATGGAATGTTGCCCCTCTGGTCCAGTGCCTCTTTGCTTTCTATCACTGTGCTCCTCTTCTAATTCAAGTCGGCCTGCCTCTTCTGTAAAAAAGTAGACTTAAACTTCATTTATTTAAAAATAAAGTCTGAGCAGGAATGGGCACTCAGAATTGTAGCCATTTCCAGCAACTATGTTAAATAGGCCACCAACCCAGTCCTCGTATTTATAGATTTGTCTCATATTTCTAGATGCAGGCACGAATTTTACATGCTGGATCTTTTGCCTCTAGCAACACCCTGAGCTCCTAAAAAGTCGATAGCCATAAAAAAAGGGCTTGTTATTAAATGTCTAGACTGAGATGAAGTAATTAAACCAGTACTTTTCCGTCCGTTTAAAGCTTGTTTTCCGTGTTCCTTTGTGTTAGTTGTTAGTCTATATCTGGGTTAGTTACTTAGTACTAAGATGCAAAAAATAAACACAAAAGTAAATTAATCTTTTCTTCATAACTGTCTGCTGTTATGTAGTCAGTTGTTCAAAGAGAGTTAAATAGTAAACTAAAGTTCAACTACTGTTTGTGGTAAGGATCATGGCCTACAGATAATAAATATTAGAGCCTGACCAATATATCGGCTGGCCGATATTATCAGCTATCGGCCGATATGCTTGCTGATAGGGGCCGATATTTCACGTGGGCATGTGATATGTCATTAAAAATCTTAGACTCTCTACATTCTGTTCATTTAATCCAATTTACAGACAGATAAATGTCCTAATATGTGGCTCCATGTCAGTATTTATCTGCAGTCATTTGTCTGTTTGTGTGTCCGTACTGTCCCTGAACACACCACAGAGTCGCGTCACTCACATGTGTTTGTTTACACGCGCAGACATAGGTCCAAACATTGAGATTATTTTCTTTTTACGGAAAATCGGCTTGAGTCTGGATTAAAAGGACATTTATTAGTGCAGACTTGTGATGTGACGAGGAGCCTGTGTGAGCGCTGAGTGTTGGAAATATGTCGACTTTGAAGCTAGTTTTGGTCATTTGTTATGGGTTAGCTGCTGTAGCTCCCGCACATAAACAGGCTGTTTTCTATTGGCCTATTGTAAATTGACTACATTGGCCGTATATTTGTTACTGGACCTGCATTGACATGTAAATGATATGTGAATGAGCGTGCACGTATTTACAGCTAAAAGGCTAATAGCACTAGTTTCTTTACTAGTAATGGGTCGGTCGCGAACGAAATGGCTCTTAGAGCCGGCTCTTTGAAGCGAACGACGGGAGCCTGATCCTTATTGGGAGCCGTGTTTTCTCTTTCTCACTTTTTTCTCTTCACGCCGTATGAGGACTCGTGGTAGTTTGACAGCGGCAGCGGCTGAAAATGAAACTTTGAGAAATTTGCATGTACATAGGATAAAAAAAAAAAAAAAAGAGCATATTTGGCTGTAGTTTAGCATAAAATAAATAAACCAGGACTAATCTTGGGCACGAGATAGAGACCAAGTCCCGACACTCAGTCCTGGTTCAGTTTTGGTTTAGTCCTGTTTTACATGTGGTCTAGATCTGTTTTAGTCCTGGTTTAGTCCTTTTTTAGTCCTGGTTTAGACCTGGTTCAGTCCTGATTCAGTCCTGCTTTAGACGTGTTTTAGACCTGCTTGCAACAAAACAATCTGAAGAGCTGCTTGGGAGCCAAAAGAACCAGCAGCTTTTAGTGAGCCGAGCCAAAAGAGCCGGTTCTCTAAAAAGAACTGGAATACCCATCACTAGTGTCTAGAATGTGATGCAAAAATACCATTAAGCCAACCTACTGTCTGTAAATATGATGTAAAGAGGCAGAATAACAATAAATGTTGCCTAAATAAACCCAATTTAAAATCCACCAGAGCCAAACCTAAGTTTTTTAAACAATTCAACATTTACAGTGAATTTTTACATCACTAAATATATCGGTGATTATATCGGCAGCTCCAACTAACATTATATCGGTTTCATATCGGCCACAGCAAAATCCATATCGGTCGGGCTCTAATAAATATAGATATTACTAATCACACAAAGGTGGATAAAGCTGTAACAGTAAAAGTATATGTTTTACCTTGCGAATTTACCTGATGGAATTTTTCCATCTTGCTTAAATATGGTTGTAAATCTAGAGGATGGGATTAAAGGGTAAGGATACTCCTATCTGCTGAATGGTGCATTACCTAAACTCTCCTGCAGGTGTCTCTGTCTCATCACAGACAGACTGGGCTTAGTGCACTGAGAAGACTCCGCTCTTGAGACATTTGCGATGCCACCACTGCTCTTCCTGTCCTCCTCCATGTCTGAATGTACATCAGTGAGAGGGACAATTCTCTCCTGTCGACCTGGCTCCATCTGCCTGTCTGCCTGCTGCAGGGGCGCCCCCATGTGGCCGTTAGTCCTGCAGTCCACAGGGGGGTCTGAGACTGTGGTGAGGGCTCGCTCCAGATCTGGGTCTGAGGGTTTGGTGTCACAGGTGCTGCTGCCGTCCGAGTCCTCGATTTCAGCCCCAATGCAGCTGTACACCATGCTGACCAGATCTGTGGACTGGACAAGGACAAACGAGGCAGAATTAATGAGCCCTTTTCATAGAAGCATATTTTTATTTATGTCTATTGGATTCAGTGTTGAAACTCTAAACCTATCACACAAATCAAACGTAGAAAACTGTCATTTGGGCAGAGCCGTTAATGAGCACAGCAAGAAATGATTGAGTGTGTAATGTCATGCTGAACGAGCAACTGTGAGCAGATTGTGTATTTCCCAGTTAAACTCCAAAATTTGAAACTAGAAACTGTATATCTTCCGTAATGAACATAAATGTGAAATAAGATGCAACATTTTGATCTTGAAAACCTCATATTATGTCTTTTTGGCACAGATTCTTTTATCTTTTCAATATATCAGCTACCTCCTAGAAAGCATGATCTGAATTTTTATATGAGACAGGTTTTTAAACCATATGCTTCTGTGACAACCCTAACCATTTATAAGGATTTGGGACCAGCTTAAAAATGCCCATTACCGACTCCTGCTGTCAGTCTTCTTCCAGTGGACAGGTGTGGTGATTACCTTTTATTATTCTTTACTTTGTTAGAATAAGTTCATGTATAAAAGCAGTACCTGTCTTTGTATGAGGCACGGAGGGCTGGCTGGTCTTATCCCATGTGCAGATATGCCCTGTGTGGGCCGGGGAGACGGCATGGTCCCATTTTCTCCTGGAAATGCACCCTCCACCCGCCCCATGTCCTTAGGGTGCTGGATCATGGAGTAAACATTCTCACAGACACCACTGATGAGACAGACACAAAACGTCACATTACTATATCAAGTGAAGAAAATAATCTGTTACTTCAATATAACTTAAATAAAAGCAAAACAGCAAGAAAACATGTTTATGTCTTTAACAAAATGTACTTTATTAATTTGAGAATGCAGGCCATTATTATAAAAAAAAAAAAAAAACTATGGCTTTGTATGGATTGGGTGTGAGAGTGAGTCATAGCTGTTTTAACACAGCAACTGGTGCAGCACATTGCATCATTTAACCTTGTCATAATTTTATATTGAACACACCTTCACTGTTGAGTTTGTGTGAATCCCCAGAAAGTTAAAAATAAAGATACTTAGATATTCTTTCTTAATAATTTTCACAGTTTGGTGGTTATGTAACAGCTGTTTTGAAGGCCAACACATTTTCTCTTATTGAAATATTTATTAAGATTTAAAGAGGCATTAATTCCCAGTGCTGGATAAATTTAATAGCTGCCTCACTCTAAGTCCACTTGATGCACTGACAGCTTCTTCTCCCTCCACTGGCTCTAGCTGCTGTTCTGCATGCTTACTCTGAGTCCTGATTAGAGATGGTGGAGTTGCGATTCTTGCGAAAGCCTGAAAAAATGGACAAGACGCTGCGGCGCTTTTTCCTCCTCAGTGACTGCGAGTGATGAAGGTCTGACAGCTGACTACAAGAGAGAGCAGAAAGATGAGGAGTTTTCTACTTAACAGGAAAGACTAAAGAGAAAGAGAGAAATTATGGAAATGCCAGATCTAAAGACTAAAGACAGAGGGAAAGAAATGATGGAAATGCCATATCTGAAGATTAAAGACAGAGAGAGAAATGATTGAAATGCCAAATCTACAACCACCCAAAATTGTGTAGAGAAAAGCATTGAATTATTCGGAGTGGCATTTTTGTTAAAAGGATGAACAACACATGACATTAGAACTACAGACAGTCAGATGAGGTAATGTTTGATCTCTAGATGGATTTGTTAGAAACAAGTTTATGGATTTGGGGGAATTTGGCAAAATTCATGTTTAGAGTTTTGAGTCCAAATTTCTGTTGTTTCTGGAATCTTCATTGTCAGTATAAATGTGCTGCACCTGTCTGTATTTATTGCAGGCTTTTATTAGTCTTGTTTACATAATGGATTAGGAAGATAGGTGTTGCCAGTAAATTGGTGGCAACAAGGGTTTAATCGAGACATACTTGTCTAGCTATGATTTATTATGTACTAATAGACATTCAGACATGGAAGGAAGGACAGGAGTTAACCGTGTCGGGAGTATAGTGAGCTCATCCCCGGCAAACTCCTTGTCTCTTCTGCATGTACGAAATGCTGAGCGTCCTTATGCTACTCCTTCAGACGCAATATGCAACTCCCACCAGGCCTTCTCTGAGTGTCTAGTCGCTCTGATAGTAATACACGAACGAAGTGAAAGTCAGACACAAGTCACGTAGTGATATCACATCGCTGGCTCAACGAGAAGAAAGTGTTTGAAAGGCAGACATAAACGGTTATTATCAGTTTTAAATGCACTGGCTATAGGGCATCGTGTCACCGTATTCTGATTGCAGCTAGTGATCTTGTTAAGACCGAATCAATAATGGTCCTTACGCCATTGTGTCAATACTTTTCGTAGACAATCACTCGTACGTCCCTATCGCTCATCTTAGCATGCCCTACCAACTGAGTTTGTAGGGCGATTATATAAGAGAGAGCTTTAATACAAGTACGAAAACAAATCTCCTATCAGTCAACATCGCAAAGCGGATTGACAAAGATCATAGTACGGGTTGGCGCCTTGTTCATCCTTAGGACAGTCTCTGGGCATGATTAAACATTTGGTATGTTTACACAACATCATCATGCAGTACTCTGTGCCTTAAGATAAGGTTAAGACTATTTTAGAAAAGTGGCCACATAGGCAATAGAAATAACTCAAGATAATTTTAACAAGTTCTACAAGTTAAAGTGGGAAGATTTTGAGCAACTCAGCTCAACCGGATTAGTAATTGACCAAGATACACGTTTCTTGTGCCTAGCAGATTTGAAGAGGAAGGTCAACAGCTGAGTGCTCCGTATTATCTGAAATCATAAATCTGCTATTTGAAATCGATGCACTTTAGTCACAAAATGGCTATAATGTATAGGAGGCGTTGGATCTCCTTAGAGATCTTTAAACTTGCAGCATAGGTTGTATTCTAACGGTTACGTGAATTGAAGGTTAATATTTTAGGTTGGAAGGTTAAAATCATCAGGTCTACAAAACAGGTCAGTTATGCGCAGTGTAGGTTCTGCTCTGCGTTTTGGATAAATGCCTGGTTGTTCTGTAGAAGGGGAGCGTGGCCTGCGTTGAAGGTGCATATGGACTGTATATAGGGAGTGTATTCTCCCGTTGTGTGGGGGATGAGGGAGAATATGTTAGTCTAAATTGGGTTTATTTAGGCAACATTTATTGATGTATTATACTTCCAGTGATGCAGAGTTGGGGACAGGGCAGCTCATGCATTTGGGAGGCGCATGGTGCAGAATATGGGATAGCAACGACTGAGCGTAGGAACTGGGTTCTGGCATTCTACCTAAACTCTAGACGGGAGAAATATGGTAGTTAGGACCTATTGCATTATCTGCTTTATTAGACATTGTAAAGATTTTGCTAGAACTTGAGAATGACTACTAGATGTGTTTGGGTACTCAGTGGTGAACCAGTACATTCCTTAATATTTTCCTCACTTAAGAGTGGACAACTGCATTACGTTTATAGGAGTGCCTTCTGTGCACATCTTAAGACTGCCTCATTACTGGGACTTTTCTTTTATTATTAGTTGGCATTACCAATAATAGGACACCTTCTTCAGGAATTTAGGTTTTGTTATGAATAGCAAAGCAGTAACCATACCATAGGTTTCAATTCTACGTACGTACCATGGTAGCAAGCGACTGGAATCGAATCATCTTTAGGCTAGTGTCACTTGAACCTAGGCGTTTCTTTGATAAGCTTCATGGTATCCTAAGAGCCAATAATGGACATAAAATAGTAAAAAATAGCAGTAAAATCTGCAATAAAATGTAACAGGCGAACGCTACTGCTTACAACCCTGGGACAGTGTTCCTTGAGAAACCATAAAGATAGCGTTATTATAATACTAGAGCACATAATAAATCATAAAGCTAATTCGCATTATCCCAGGACAATCTCAGAATACAATGATGAGTCAATTTGAGAATCTGCCACAGAAAAGTTTTAATATGTCTAATACCTTATTCGTGCCCACAGTTGTGTACTGTTACTCCATGTTCACCTAGGATCTGATCTTTCGCGACAATTAACCTCACCTCTCGGGAGACCGATCCAAGTGACCTCTAGCACTCGTATATCCTTTGGACTTTGCCTTTGAATTTGAGTGGCGCTCTCCTGTCCCTGCATCGTCCCACGCTTGACTTGTGACACCTGCCGTAGCTAAGTATAATACACACAAGAGTGGTGACATGAGGATTACCAACCTTCAACACACTCAAAGAGAAGTGCCCTTGTACCGACTGTTCAAACTGCCAGTCAGCTATGAAGCATAGCTCCTGGCGCACTTCCTCATTGCTTTGTGCAGTTGCATGATGATCTAATAATGAAGTGAAAGATATCACACGAAAGACAATCACTCGGACCTTCGCTAAATACCAAAGCACGTGGCTTGAGGACTCGATGATCACGAGACAAACTTTCAGTCCTCGCTGCTACATTCAAAGAGCCGTGCCTAGAGCACTCAGAGAAGACGTATACGATATCACGAACCACTAGATGTGGCTAGGTGAGGTGGAGAGAATACAAACAATGAGTAGTAGGGAAGGCTAGCTGTACGCCATAAATTAAATCGCTGAGTGTCATATGGTTCTCTAGTATCTTAGGTTCATGTACTGTTGTTGTCAGCGAACCAGAACATAAAAAATTATCAGTCTGACGTTCTTAAACTAGAAGCACTTCTAGCAACAGTGCTAGTATGTCTAAAGTGTTTCATTAAGGAAGTGCACGAAGCATATTGTGAGTAGGTCTTTAACGTACAGATATTACAGTAGACTGCAATGCATTGGTCAAAGAGATAAATTCGAACTACAGTAAGCTAAAATACTACCGTAGAATTGTCCATAGCTCTATTATTGTTGTTGTTAATAAAGCATAATATAAGGAAGTAATTACACAACAATAGAAACAGGACCTTCTGTTTTGAAGATACAATAGTGCAGGTGGGTAAGCTTTACAAAGCAGTTACTACGAAATCAGTATCCTGAAGCATTGCTGAGAGGCAGCTGAAAGCAGCCTGCAGCTGGTAGGATGAAAGTATATAATTTTCAATTGTTCCCAAATAGTATCAGTATAGGGTTTCTTAACAGCTAATTGTGAAATGTTACGCTTTTCTGCTATATTTCATCTTAAGGTATTTTTCATAAAGAAGTTTAATTATCTAAAACTTATGTTGACCTTTCTTTTACTTTTTCAAATCTAAAATCTATGGCTTACTTTCGGTCTTCCAGTATGTTTCAAGCGCAAGGTTCATGCCACTTAAATAATTGGTTCCTTATCCACAGGGATTTCTTGATTAGTTGTCCTGCATTATGAATAAAAGATTAAGATTACTCTATCTCATTAGTTAGATATATGTGGGAAAGATATCATCGCATAGTATAGGATTTCTAGCGGCGTAGAGTTAATATTAGCATTCACATTGTGTGTGTTGTTATACTAGCCTGACCCTTACTGATATAGAAAGGCATTGGCGATTTCATAAAGGACATAGGTATTAACGGAAGCTAAGCACAAAGAGCGATTCTCTATAGTTGAATGCTGCGAGTATATTAATCTGGACAGAGTGGAGCTCTTAGCAAGAATCTAAGTATAGCCACTAGTTAACTAGTAGTTTATGGTCAGTAATTCAGTGGAATGTACGCTAATTACAGGACAGCTTCACCTCCACATGAAATGGAGCAAGATGATAAGAAAAAAAAGCTTTATAGTATAGTACTAGTAGTTGTCTGTAATTAGTTCAAAGAGCTTCCTTGAATGCATAGTTACTGTATTCAAGTACTACGTCCAGGGGCTTTGGTCTAGATGTCGGCTCAAGCCTGCTAGCTCATTAGCATCAGGTGCGTATGTGCGGCGAATGGGGAGGCAGCGGCCTAGGTACATGGACACATGCTGATATCGAGCCATGGACTACGCAGTACTGGAATAATATGGGGGGGACTGAGCTTTGCTGCTGCTTCAGCAGCTAGATGCATCATAGTGAGGTCAACTACGCGCTCATTAAAGTATCTACTACGTGATCACGCAGCACCAATTGTCGATTACTCCTTATGACCGAATCACCACATCACAGTAGTACTTGGAAACATACCAAGTAACTGTAAAAGTCCACTGCTACTTGTGTATATTATCTAACAATATTAGGTTAAATCAATCATTGTACATACAGCTAAACTATCAAGCATCAGGTCCATTGTGTTTTATTCGAGAGAATAGTGTTATTTTTTATTACATTATGTTAGTAAGCTCACAGTGCATCTATTATGTATGTGCATCTTTTAAGAATATCTATAAAGAGTAATACAAAATACACAGATACCTATGATATAATGATCTCAAGTTAACAGAAGCGTGGATACGCGCTAGACTGGACACGAGGATGAAAGCTTAAAAGTTGCTAGGTGAAACATTAACTTATTACATGCAGATGGACTTTGGTAGCTGCTTATTGGCTATTGGGTCTATTCTTGTTAAGCAAATGTATCTATTCCTGTCTCCTAGTAACCTCCTTTTGTTTTTGGATTATGCTATAACTAGTGTTATACCCATTAAATGTTCAGTATTGTTGTTACTGCTAAATTGTATTTTAATATGTTGTTACAGCAATAACACTTGCTGGTTGAATGATTCCTATTATTTTTTTTTTTAATTAATGAATCTGTGATCAATATATAATATATCGTATGATAGTTAGAGATAGAACTCTTATGCCTGCAGTTACTTGGTCTGCATGCCCTTTTGGGTCTCAGTTCTCCTGCTAGTTTGGTGATCCAGTCTCTGTCTGGCCGGGCGCATTCCACAACAGGACATGTGCAGTTTCCATCACACAAAAGTTGAGGGGTTACGACTGATGGACGGAGAGAGCAGAGAACTTAGGCAGGGATTGCACATCTCATACGAAGAATGATGTCAACTTGTTATATCAATTTACTTACTATTGACTGAAGCAGAGGAAAGGAGGATTGTGAGGCATTGATGAACTCAATGATCTCACCTTGTCTTCTGCAGAGAAGATTGGTGAAGGCTCGCACTTTCAGGATTTGTTCGTAGGTGCCACTGAGGTCTGGCTTGACTGTGGCTACCAGGTCAAAAGGCGGGCTCTTGACGGACCACACAGAGAGGGCCAACTAGTCTTGCTGTCCATTCCCCGCGAGCCTCAGTCGCTCCATTCACCCAATTGATCAAACACTCAAGCTAAGGTGTTTTCAAATAACACAGTAGTTTAACAACACAAACCACAATCCACGTACAAACTTAAGGCGCAGGGGCGGCTAACACTAGTGCTTCTGTTGTTTCCACCAGCGGATAGGCCTTAGAGCTTAGCACGATCAGGTCTTTCTGATCTCGGTGAGTCTTCAAGAGCCTGTTTCTTGTTGAGGGTCAGTCAAAAGCAAAATCCTCTTCGGATGTTCCTGGGTCCAAGCTCCCGGGAGTCCGCTCTGGTAGAAAGCGAAGTTTAGGGCTTAGTTTCTTGCTTGAATCTATAATTCCGAATACCTGGTACCTAGCATTTAATACATAAGAGAGGGCGAGTCCCACAGCAGCTGGTGGATCGTGCCTGCAACAAAATAGAAGGTCATATACACCAGCAATAATGCGCAAAGACAAGACAGAGTAGCTGAGGAATGGGACACGGTGTTTTAAAGATGTTGTGGAGGAGGCATGCGGAGTACATGGGCCTATTTGCTATATGGTGGCACGTATTATGAAATAGTATTATATAATAGAGAGAATCAATGCCTGACAGATACAAAATGGAGCCGTTGGTCTCTTTAATATGATGTTAGATGGTATGCTCAGCATGGTGGGAGCACTACTCAATTCTGAATCTGAGTGCTAATGAGAAATGAGGTTTTTGTGATTTGATCTTTTCTATATCATGAAATTATTAGTAAATGTCATTTAAATCAGTGGGTTTTAGTACTTTACGTGCTGCTATCATCACAAAATGGGATACGAAGTGTGTAGCCGAGAGCTAAGTTTTTGGCTCATAAAGGGCGCGAGCCCATAAGGCGGACCCAAATCCATTTCATCTCACCAGAGAAAGTCCAACTCATTGATAGAGTTTTATGCATTGTACATTCTTTTATTTCATGTCTATAATAAGATATATTTAGGATTATATATTATGGATGCTAAATATTGTTTTCAATTATGGTTTTATATATAGGAGTTAGAATACTACTAATTCTCTTATACAACATTACATATAATAGATATATATAGTAGATCTGCACTATATCCATAATATACTGGTTTTTATTTGTCAGATTTCATTTTCAAACATCATAATTGGTGGCTCAAATAGTAATAATTTAAAATTACATCAAGCACTTATCCTTTCTTCTATCTTCATACTGCTATGTTATGGACAAAGATAGATATTTCCATTGTTTGTGTTTTTAGCACATTGAAAAAGAATAACACAGATAATAACAGATAACCATATATATTAAGATAAAATCCACTAAATATAGTATATATAGCATTACATTATTATATATATATCACACCTACACTAATCTATATATATATGGGTTTAGATATATAATCTGCATATTATGGCAGCTAATACTCAAACACACTTTTTTAAAATATGGATAAATAGAAAAACACACTCATTCTACCATATAATAATGTGACATATAAGTTATATATTAAGATATAGAGATATACGTCTACTGTTACTCTTTATTCCATATGTCCCTAAGAAAAACCAACAAAACACAAACAAACACTCTGTTTTCTCATGCCATTTCCGTGGCGTAGAACAATAATGAGCTAGAAACGCTTGCATATCAGGTAGGAACAGATTCTGACTACAAGGGCACAGGGGTGTATGTATCTCAGCTGTATTTCTTTTGCAATGTGTTTGCACATGTATGATTCAATAGACCTAAGAAGAGTAAGATACTGTAAGATATATAATACTCATTTATTAACAAGTAAACCCTGCTTTGCCACACAGGTTTCCTCACTAATGACAAACATTATAGTTATGGTGGCAGTTTTAACTGCCTAGACTTTTATTTTTGTGCATGTAATACATTATATTATTAAATGTGTTAGATATATGAAATTAAAAGTTTAACCGGTTTATATTTAATATTTTCTATTATATAAAGAAACGTTTGTATGATATTCATCATAGAACAAATTAAATAAGTTAGATTAATAAAATTGTGCGATAATATATCCCACTGTGTCGAATCTCTCTAAACTAAATAACAAGTAGCTTAAATTTTAGACATCTAATAATTGTATATTATCATAGACACTACATCGTGATTTTTTAAAGTGCATAATTTTTAAATATAATTATATTTTCTATCGTGCGATCACATTTATTGAGTAGGGATCAGAAGTTGCGTATAAGCATAGGTTGTCATAATGGTTTGGCTGAATGGGTGGTGTTATTCTGTAGAGTTTTTCCTATTTTTGTCACCCAATAAAGGTATCATATACATTTCTCGACCAAGTGCTTAGGGTCAAGAATGAATATAATAATTTTAAGCAACACCTTTCCATAATATTATAATGTAGTTAACTCAGGGTCCTGTGAAGCCTTTGCCTTTAGGACGAGTGGCCTAGGAGTATTAACTCGCTACTAAACTCGCCCTATTTAAGCATGAAACATTTAACTGTTCATAAAGTTGACTTCACTTTAAATCTCATAGATAACCATAGCTGCACTTCCTGCATCATACACAATCATTGATAAGCTCTCTCTAAAGATGGATCTTGATTATTTTCTCACAAATGCCATTTGCTTGTGGTTGTGGCGTCTGGTATTCAGTCCTCTGCGTGATAATATATACACTGAGGCTGAGAAATACATGTGCTTAACTCGCCGCAAAGAAACCAAAGAATGTTGTATCATCATTTCACAGAAGCTTGCTATTTAATTGTTGCTATATACGTCTGCTTAATTTGACTTCGTGGTCTAATTTCATATTTGTGGCATTATCAATCTTAATTGGCTTACTCTGAAGATGATCATATTGACAGCTCATCGAATAGTCTTCCAAGAATAAATAAAAGCAGCTGGGACAACATTGGGAGTTTTGACAAGTTCATTTGTAATTTATACTGGGCAGAAGAGTTACTGATATTAAAGTTGCTCACGTGATGATTGCAGAAGATTTTATGATGGGGGTGCAAAACACGAGAAGTCTCACTCAAGTTTATAATATGGAAAAACTTTTATCCATTATACCTATCGTTTAGCATGTAATCTAAAAAACGCTAGACCAGTCAAATGTCCATCGGACATTGTTTTTTTAATGAATACACCACATAATGCTTAGCAGACCACAAGAAATATAATTTATTGCATTTTGTTCTAAATGCTGTTAGTAGCCAATTAGGAACCTGTATTCTCTTAAATTTACTCATACACATAGTCTAACTCCTAATTCCCCTCATTAGAGTCTAAACTGTATATTGGAGTAATAGAGTTTATAACATTGTTTGGCTAAGAAAAACAGTCTTTGCCCAACACACTAAAATCAGATAGAACTCTTGGGTTTCGTTTGTTGCACTGTGTGTATGTATGCGTCTCGAGATTTGCTTTATTAATTTTCGCCTCATCACTGGTATAGGTGTAATTTCTAGTACTCAGTTGGAAACGCACTATAATTTAGAATTTATCATAACATCTGTAATTAACCACTTATACTGTTATCATCAAGATAAGTTATTAAGTCAAAGAGAAACAGGATATTGTGGCTGATCTGACAGTGTAGCTGTAACACAGTCACTAAATTTACTACTGATGCATGGAGCTGATACGCCACTCATAATTAAACCGCACTAGTCTATATTTTATGTAAATAAACATATGTGACCAGCAACTATTTTCTGTGAGACAAATGCGCTCAATTTTCAGTTTAATTGGATAATGTTACAATACTACTCTTAATAGAAGTACTGAAAACTCCTCATAATAATTCTATAGTATGTGACTGATCAAGAACTGATCTTAAAAGTAATTGACAATGTTGTCGTATAGTTGACACCTCCTTGTAGTAAGGCATAACATACTATTCATGTGTACTATTTGTTAGTCGCATGACCGCACTACATTTATATTGGTTGGCCCAGATAGAAATATAGTAATGAGAAGAATAGAACAAGGAATCGACTAAAGACTCTAAGTGGCATGAATGCCACAATGTTATGAACATGGAGTCCAGAACTGCTAGCCCTTCTAACGCGCAGGTGAGATTGGTTGTCTATATGTGTAGGCTTGAACAGAGGAGCGATTCTTGTTAGAGACATGTTGCTGAGATGAGCATATCAGGCTTATATTTTAACAGTGTCGTCTGCTAGACTTTTTTGAAGGAACTAGCTGGTGTAAATTATGTACTAGTTGTAATGTGTCAAATAGACTCGCGATGTGACCTCAGATCAATATATTTATAATTGCTACTATATATTTTCAAGAGAATTAATTTCTGTTAATACATGGATCGGTTGTGGGCACCTATCCTATAGATGACCAACAAATGTATTTACATTCAGTGCTCTACTAGTGCTGTGGAATTCGTTTTTGTGTTTGAGTTCATTGTTTGTTTCCTAATATAACTCAGAGTGACTTCGTATTCCAATAAGAAGACACTTGTATTTTTCTTCTCATGTCCTATTGGTGTGGTCAGGACAACAATTTTGTATAAGTACTTAAGGTAGATCTATAAGGTTCATAAGTTCACCATATAGCGAGAACAAAATAAATCATAGGTCTCATAGTACTCCTTGGCACATCTACTTCCTAGTAGCCTGTGACATGAGAAGTTACGATGATGACAGCATAAATGACTTCTCAATTACTTGTATCAATGGCACACGTAGATGATTTGTACATACTTGATACAAAGCTATTTGTCAACGATACTTTTCACTATGTATAGGTTTGTAACATAATATTTCAAATTACACGGTTAATAATACATTGTTCTTTCACTTGATTCATACGAAACTTAAGGTGGAATTCACTCTCTCTCAGACTTGGATCTTTCACATATCAGTCCCTTCCTTCCCTGACAATTAAGTGGACTAATGTGGTTTCATGTGTTCTAATGAATCTGATATGTTACTAAACCTGCACTACTCTATGGTAATACGAATGGTGTGTTTTTAAATTTAATAAAACGTATATATTTTATTATATATTTTTATGGACTACCTCAGTGAAAATATGAATTAGACCCGTCTCCCCCCCGGGTATTATTGTTTATTGTCCTGTCCCCTTCTCGCGTAAAGTAATAGTCAACTTGCGATCGCACAAAGGCTTTTGTGGTTATTTGTATGTCCAAAGATTTTTTCTCTCTCGGGAAGTTAGCACTCGTCGGTCAGCTGCACATATGAGAGCAATATGTCCTGACGTGCTTCAGTAGGTGAAAGTTAGTATGCTTCAAGATATGACTTAAGTCAGATAGGTCAGTGGATACTAGCAGGGTATGAATAGTTACTAATAAATATCATGACTTACTCCTACAAGAGCGTGAAGAAAGTATAGAGAGATGAGTAGGATGAGGATCTGGATTTACGATGCGATTAATTTATGAACAATACAGCATGTGGTAAATAGAGATATAGTTCATGAGATTGTTGCCTGTCTAAATTCTGTATTAATATGATACATTGTCAACAACATATCTCGTCTCAGACCGCACTTTAACATGTCATGCTTTTTTGTGTGTTATCTGACGCAGAAGATGCTTAGATTGCTCACCACTCATTACTCCTTAGTATCTTAACTCAAATTGGAACTCTGTAGCATAGCACTCAGAAGTATAGTTGTCCAAGATGATTAGTTAATTACAGTTTAAGTTACTAAGATATGGCACTGTGTACACAGTGCGCATCAGGTGCCTTCTACATTCTGTTCATATGATCGAAAATGTTAGTGAATTGATGTACAACTCATTGCATCACGTCACAATGTGTAGAAGACAGGATCAGGAATGTCCTTTTATGGGCGTCTGGTGAATTGATATGTGTACATAAAGACCTTCAAAGCTACGTTTTGGGTGTGTGTGTCTTACTGCTCCATCGCTCTTGCAACGTCCTGGAAACCGGTCGCTGTGGTGTTGTTGCGATCCCACATCACGCTCCTGAGAGGGATCAAACCAAAGATAAAAGATAAGAAAGAAAAATAGACACAGAACTGATGCTTTTGAGACATCCCAACACTACCACGAAAGCAGAGATAGTATTTTCTTTTCTACATGGCATTCCCCAGATATCGACTGTAACTTTTACCAACATGACAAGGGAATTTTACATTTGTTTAAAAAGTGTATTTGTCTATTTCCTTCTTCCTCATTGTCAAAACAGTGCAACTTCAATCTAGTTGTTGAAATGAACTTCCCTGTGATAAAATCTGAAGCATCTGGAATATATGGCCATATGGGGGAGAGGTTTGAGTTTACCTTATATCAACCTTGATCAATCCATTACTTCCAGTAGCATAGCAGATATAATAATGTATTATGTTTAATACTTCTGTAATTACTGGACATATCCAAATGAAAAAAAAATTACAAGTTTTACAGCTGTGAAATGTTTTTGTTTGTTTGTTTTTAACAGATGTTTCCAAAAAGTACTTGTATTTCTCTTTCTTGCCTTATTGGTGTCAGCTGAAAAGACTTTAAGCAAAAATTTCCCACAGAGAAATATAGGTGCCTGACCTCCATCTATTTAGAGCTTGTGCTGAGAAGTACATGCAACATAAAATCACTTAACCAATCACTGTACACTGAGATATGTGCACTACACAGAATTTCAAATAGTTCACTTGTCATTGAACATAATCCAAAATTTATATTTTTTTCCTTGATTCATACAACTAAGGCGGAATTTCCTCAGTTCCTGGCATGATATTAAAGGTGTACTATGTGATTTTTCTGGTGAAGGGTTACTCACATGTCTCCATGAAGTTATTGCTTTGCTTTGAATGTTCTATAGTATGGCATTACCTGTGTTACATTCATTCAGTTACAGGGTTTTTTTGTTAAAAATGCCTTAGAATCATGCATTCTTACGCTATGAGCAGGGTCACCACTTCTCCACAGACCGGCCTTGCACCTTGGATAAGTGGATGTTCCACAGCAGGGAGGCAAAGCAATAACATCTTCATGGAGATCAGAAGGTGGCTGACCCTCCACCAAAAAAGTTTAATAGTTCACCTTTAAGCATAAACTGTATATATAAATGGGCACAGCTAACACGCTAGCTGCTGCTTTTCAAATAGGAAGTTTGTATGCGGGCACTTCCAGCTCCTAGTGATCCTGTCTCCCATTGACCTTCACTGGAATATTGTCGCCCCTCTTTGTAACTGCAGCTGTGAACCCTGTCATTTTGGTCTTAAAATGTTCATATTAGCCCACTTTACATGATCTTGATGGGTTTATTTTGCTATTTTGTCCATAAAAAAATAATGCTATTCCCAATATGGGGCCTAGCTCCAGATTAGTTCCTGTAACTGCCAGCATCTTAAGCCTCATTTGAGTGGAGATATGCAAACTTATCAATAAATGTATATTTGATTAAAATGAAACTATTTCAATTACTAATATTTTTGAGTTTCTTTAGAGTTTATGTTTTATGTTGAAGTTATGTAAAATAAAATAGTGATAATGAAAATCAGCATGTGTTAGCCAATAGCTGCAAACTGAGAGATAAAACTTCAAACCCACACAAACTTAGCTGCAAAGAGTTCGACCATATCCCCAAATTAGGGATGCATGGACCCGAGCCATAAAACTAATGAGCTCCAGCGACTTCAGAGCAGCCTCTTCCCACACTCGTCTGTCTAACTGCTGTTTCTAATATGTCACTCTTTCCTTTTATCCATCCTCACCTCCATCATACCTCTGCCCTAGATCTTCCTCCAGCAAACCCCAAATCACACACCCCAGGAGGTCTTCTCTGTCCATCCCATCCAACTTTCCTCTATCGTTCCTCAGATCCAGCAGTGTTACTCCTACACACGGATATAGTGTTCCTGCTTGTGCGTCCTTGTATGATTTATCACTCCTTTTATCAACTCACTGAACTTTAAAGGCCCACTATTTTACAGATTTTCTAATGCATGTCTTTGGAAAAGAAGAACCTCTTTACATTTGGAGAAGTAAAAGAGTCTGTACTTGACTTTTATTTCTTATATTTCAGGAAAAAAAAACTTTCACTCTATGGGTTTCAGAGCGATGAAAAATGAACATTGCTACCATAGCAATTAACAATTCCCCTCTAAAACTATATCATTGGAATGGAGATGTTTCAAAAAGTCTCCGATATGAAGACGTTAAAAGCCATGAATAGTAAAAGCAGCTATTTGTGAAAAAAGACTGAATGATATGAAGTATATATTTTAAAAGGCATTTTCTTGGTTGAGAACCCTGAAGAATGAACTGGCAGGAACAGACAACTTTAACAACTCAAACATCAGCCTGTGACAACAGCAGTTTTTTTTTTCCTTCATAGTTCTACTTTCACTTACTACTACTATCTTTAGTTTTGCAGCTCTGCAATTAAAGGTGCATTCTGTAACATTTTGCATTTGGAGTGACCATCACATGCTTTTCTTCATGGAGATGTTATTGCTTCACAGTATGGCATTAAACCTAGAGCTGTTAATGTACGGAATATTCCAGGCAGAGCAACAAACCCCCCAACCAAAAAGTTACATAGTGCAGCTTTAATCTCCAGCTCCAAATAAAACCCAGTTCCTGTCAAATCTTCCTTCTATTTTTTTTTTTCTTTGTAGTTTTACGCAAGGGAAGACACACGTGAAAAGAGCATTCTGGTAATAACATGACAGAGGGTTCTTAGGTTTATTTAGGTGGTATATTATACTTGTTGCTAATAGGGGTTAAGTACTTATATAACCTCTGCACCACTGAGATTACCTTTCTTCTATACACAAATCATTCAAACAAAACAAATACATGTAGAGAAACATTACTTTAATTGTCAGTAAATGGCCTTTCCATTACTAAACCTACCTGAGTGTGGTGTTGATCTGCAGAGCCTTGCTGAGCATTTTGGCGCCTGCATCCTCCAGACCGTTCCCACTCAGATCCACCTTTCTGAGGCAGGCGTTAGAGCCCAGGGCATTGACCAGCACAGTGCCCCTCTGACGCAACCTTGAGTCAGCCAGCGAGAGGGACTGAAGAGCCTGAAGAACGGACAGATAAAAGAGATGTTTTTGGATAACCTAAAGAATATGCTACAATATAGAAAATATTATTTTTATTTTAGAAAGACAAAAAATAAATCACATATTTTCTTATATGGGACATAACTGATGTAATGTGATACTGTAGTGTTTGTTAAGTGGAAAGTTTTGATTCCCACATTTCAGATTGTAGAGAGTATAGACGATTAAAATAGATTGCAGAATAAAATTAATAGTTTTATGATTACCCATTTTTTGTAATTGATTGGAGAAAAAAAAAGGAATATTCAAAAGTAACAGCCTCGATAAAATATAGTGCAGTTTAGGTGTATCTTTCTATCTTGTTCCGTAAACTACTACTAAGCATAAATTTGCATGTTAATTTCAACTGATTCCTTTCCAGGTGCAACTCTCTTCATTTCTGCGGGTTTGGGTCAAGCTAACGAGTGCACTGGGTTGTATCTTCTTGTAACTACATTTTGAAAATCAATACATGAATTTGAAAGTACCATTTTAAATATTCACCAACTTCGTCTGCGTCGACCAACTGCATAGTAATCGATGGCTCATCTGCACCCCTGATTTGTTTTCTCTGTTTCCTCCTTCCTGAACCAAAAAACTTCCAGACAAGTGCAGAAACTAAACTAAAAACTGTGTCTTCTTGCAGTGGGACTCATTAGAAGCTGAGAGTGTGTGTGTAATAATATAATAATATCCAGGTGAAAAGACGATGATTGGAGACAGAAAAACAGGAAGAAGTTGTTAAAAATTCAACTCAGAGGTATAGAGTCTTGGCGCATGAAATTGTATGCTTTTTATACAGAGCAGAGAAACTATAGCTAATCATAGGAAGAAATCACAGAAATGAAACTGCAGTCATGGCTCTGTGAATCAAAATGCAAATATAGTAAGGGCATATTAAAAATGGTGAATCTTATTAAGACTGCTGGAGATTTCACTATGATGTCTGCAGTGCTTGACTTATATGTTTTATTAGCAGACCAGTACTGAACCAAAGCTCAGTGATACTGCACATTATATTCTCACTGTAGTGAGGAATGTGTGCAATCTTATTAACGTGAAAGTGAGGACTTTGTCGGAAATACAAAAAAAAATCCCAAAAAGTGAATAGCCGAATGTTCCTTCAAAAAATTGCATTTTTTAAAATCATTTAATGAGCCAAAAATACTAAAACCTCTGTTGTTTCTACTGTTGATACTGCTGTTATAACTATCATGTATTTTTCTATTTGTAGTGCAACATTTTTATAAAAAGTGTGACTATAACTCTGACAACTATTGCCAAAGTAAAAACATTTCCAAAAAATGTTAATGTAAAAACTACCTGAGTAACCTCTCCATCAGCTGACACTAACTGCAGTGCTCGTGTTCATTGAATGAATGTGAGAGTAAATCTGCCAGTTCACATCATCAAAACTGGTGAATAGTTGACTAAGCTATTTGTCATGTTAGATTTTCAGACCAGATAGTGCAGTTAAACTCAGGTGCAGGGTACATGATAAACAGAAATGAAATGAACCATCCAATGCCATTGCAAGGAGATAAGTTTTAAATGCCATCTCCATTTAAAGGTGTAGCACATAGCTTTTCAGGTGGAAAGTCTGTCACCTTGTCTCAGTGATGTTATTGCTTTGCCTGGAATGTAAGACAGTGACAGCATCGTATTAACTTATCTATCTCCATACAAACACGTCAACAGGCTAACTTACAGGTCAGGTCTGTGGGAAGCTTTCTCACATTAATTTTAATATATTTTTAATAAGTAATTGAATGAATGCAAGATAGATACGTTTAATGAACTGTGTGACCATCATCATGTAGGCAGAACAGTAACATTTATATGAAGACAAAAATGTGGCACACTTTTAAATAAAATTAAATTAACTTAAGTTACAGCAATTGTAACTGCCTTAATGTGTTAATTTATAGCCACAAAGCTATACCAGATTAAGAAAAGTGCATAAACTGTGTAACTCACACAGTCTTCCTCTTGCACCAAATGAACTAGTTTCTGTAGTATCTCATCCAGCACCCTGAGGAGGCACAGAAAAACAGAAGAACATCCATCATGAGTGCCGTCTGTAGCCATCTGTAGTGCGTCTGCGTCCCAGTGCACTTCCACCTACCTGCCCTTGATGTTAAAGTTCTTCCCCAGCATCAGGTGCTTAAGGGATGGGTGATGGGAGAACGCAGGAACCACTGCCAACATGTCTGCATCCAAACCTGTGAGAGGAAATGAATTAGTATTTAAGAAAAAATAACACAACCTAAAGGTAATATGAGGGGATCAACCACATCTTTATGATTTTATATTTAAAAGATATACTAAACAACAAGTTAATATATCTTATTTTGGATGTTCCTTGTGGTAAGTATCTATCCTACTGGTCAAAGAAATTCAATTTTATTCTGATTTGGCAGACAGGTCTCAAATTGTGTCTGATCAGTGCATTAGCAATCTGACCTGTAACTTTGCCTGGTACTTCACCTACTTTTCTCCATGTATAGGTATAGGTTTAATGTTATATTGTGGAAGATTTAGGCAAAGCAATAACATCTCCATGTCTCCAAGCACGTGGCGGACCCTCCACCAGAAAAGTTACATAGCGTATTGTTAACAGATAATACAAGGCTGAGACAGAAAACAGCTGAGAATGCATTTCAGCTCAGTGTTATATAACCATAATAGTCGCTGTGTTGTTTGTTTTCTGTACAATTGTTCTGCCCAAACACAGCACAACCAATTAACCTTCCCTTCCAACACTCTCATCTTCAAAACGCTGAAGGATCGAGGACGCCTTGAGAAGAGACAGTTGCCATGGCAAAATCAACCACAAACCTCTTATACAAACAGAAATATGTGCTCATAAATAAGACATGCTTCAGATATTAATAAAGGGCATTAATCAAGAGGGAAATGGGTGGCCTGTGTTGGAAAGCAGGATAATTAAGCACTAAAAATTGTGCATAAATTTCAGAAGTTAAAAAAAAAGCAATTTGGTTTGTTTATTATAGGTTTACTGACCACAATAATACAACTCGCATATATTTATCTCTGTAATGTGAGTTTAATGAAGCTTTAACTGTGTGTATTTTATATACTCTAGGGTAATATAGGATATCAACAGATGCTGATGCTGAACATATTTTGTAAGATGTGAACAGCCTTACACCATATGCTAGAGACATGCTCTGTGAATGCTTAGTTGTTTAAAGTAATGAGTTTAGTTCAATATCATTTCAAATTAGATTACAGTCATTAAAATACCATGGAACACAAGTGCAACTGTTAAAGGCACTCTTGTGAATCTGTGTATCATTCATTCATTTGTTTTTCAAAATAAAACCAAAATAATTTTCTTCATTATTTGTCTTCAAAACCAAAATGAAAAAACTATTTGTTTTTCAGTTTTCGATTTTATGTTTAAATGAATAATGGAAAAACAGATAATGGCTGTTTACCGTTTCCGTGACTTAAACTGTGATGCCGGACTTTTGCGCCGCATACGGACTGAACGAGGACTAAAACAGGTCTAAACCAGGTCTAAACTAGGTCTACCAGGACTAAACCAGGACTAAACCAGGACTAAACCAGTCTCAGTCCCAATCTCAGTCCCGGTCTGTGGCCTGATCACCCAACAGCTCTGGACCCGTCCTGACACTCCTGGTTCAGTCTTGTTTTACTCCTGGTTCAGTCCTGGTTCAGTCTTGTCTTGGTTCAGTCCTGGTCCATTATCCATTTTTTCCATTATTCATTTAAACACAAAAGAATCAAAAACTGGCAAAAAATGAATTGTTATCCATTTTTTTCATTTTGGTTTTGAAGACAAATAATGAAGAAAATAGTTGTTTTTTCATTTTCTTATTTTTGGTTTTATTCTGAAAAATTAATGAACGAATGATACACGGATTGTTGTCATTTATAAGTACCAAATAATATGAGTTGATTAGTTGTACAAATAAACAATATATAAGAAAAAAAAACAAACAAACAAAATACAACCTGCTACTAAGAATGTTACAGGCATTGTGTAGTAGTTTATGGACTACTACGCAATACCTGCAAGCACAGGGACCTTTATTTTGTTATTGCTTTGACAACACCCAAAACTGACTCTACAATACATGACATTTTGACTGGTACAAAAACAGAACAATGCTACATACAGTCACAGCTGCAGGACAAACATGCGCAGCCCTGTCTCTCACCATTATCAGAAATGTCCAACGTCCCCACACAGGAGACTCGGGGAAACAGCTCCTGAATGACTGCCGCTCCGGCCGACCTCAGCTGCGAGAAGACAGAGAGAAGCAAAGCATGATGGGATACTGTAACCCCCGAGGACTAATCTTTGGAGACATGGCTGAATACATCCATAGACAGCATACCTCACAGCCGCTGATGTCCAGGTGTAAATCAGCGATATGAGGGTTATTGGACAGGCCCAAGAAGAGAGCCCTGCAGGCCAAAGGAGGCATTCACAGACACAAGCAGAAAGACACATGGAGGAAAGAATGTGAAAAGGGAGGGAATAAGGAAAACCAGTGGCAGTAATTATCAAAAGCAGCATCATGATGTGCAAAAGAGGATTAATCCAAAATAAACAAAATCTGATTCAAAATAAATAGGTGATACTGTTGCACATAAGTGCACATAAAGAGGAAGCAATAAGATGCAATAGATTCATATTAAATTCAAGCAAATATTAATGAGTATGAATTTAAAAGCAACACCATGTAACAAAATCTAAGTACAAGTAACTCTGAAATAAAGTAAAACTTCTCAGATTTTCTTCAAGTTGTGTATTCAGTAAGATTTTTGCTTTTACTTATATTTTCAACTAGAAAAATATATAATAATAAGTTCAGAATGCATTTACATATTTACTTTTGGTTTGAAAGGTTTGAAAGTTTGAAGCCTAAAAATCTCACAAATTTAAAAGCATATTCATGCAGCGTGATTATTTGTTGCACATGCACAAAGGGACCTGGCAGTTTCAGTCTGGACGCAAAGTGCTCGCCCGTTTAAAACTCAGTTGGTGGCTCTACATTGACCACACAGTTAAGAATCACACCAGGAGGAGGTAATGAGCAGAAGTGCTGTGTGGGGAGTCTGCTGCTGCAGCCATTTTGGACGAGGGCCATCGACATTGCACACAATCATCTCAATTGTTGGCACTTTGTTTTGTTTACTCACTTATTGGCTGTGATTTCGTAATGGACACAGATACAAAGCAACAGTGAGCCTTATGGGAGGCTACTGTTTAGACTGTTTATGTGAAGGCCAGGCTGCTGACCATATAAATACTGAATTAGCATTTAATAAAATATTATTCTTTGTAAATTGAAAAATTGCTCCTGTATAGTCTTCTTGAGTAATAATTGAATATGAAATGCAGTACTAGCAACAATATCTTATGCATCTAAATGTTGTGATTACTGGGATTACTGTTGTGATTAGTGCACTGTGTAACATTTCTGGTGGAGTGTATGCCACCGGCTGGTTGCCCAAAGCAATACTATCTTCATGGAAATAAGTAAATGACGGATCCTCCATCAGAAAAGTTACATAATGCACCTTTAAATAGCTTTCTCTTTTTTTTTTTCAATTCTAAGCCATGTGCAAGATTATGACAGTATTGGATAAAACTAAAGCTAAAACTAAAATATAGCGCCTGTGTCCTCAAGAGGAGGGTACAGTGGCTTATACGCATGGATTGTCATGAGCTTCTTTTATTCCAAATCTTCAGAGACAGTTTCAGTACAGTGAAGTTCCAGCTAAGTAATGTTCCAAATTATTATTATAGTCTGGACATATTAGAGTCACTAATTTATAAAAGAGATAATCGTCTAGACTACACCATCTTGGCCACACTGCATTATATAATATATACAATAATATATATAAATTATATAGCATATTTTTCATTTGATTTGTATCATTATCAGAAATATATTTAATAAAAATAATATATTAAAGACACTGTTCACCTAAAAAACATAATCTTTTTGTCTCTTACATTACTTTAGCACTTTCCTTGTCTCCTAGAATCTAATTATTTCCATATGAATTTATCAGGGCTAGGGTTGACACAAGAGTGTGATGCTTTATTGGTGGCAAAAATAAAAGTGCATTTTTTTTTTCTCTCTGAATCATATGACCCTTTGCCATTCAAACAGTTGAACTGTTACAGTTCCTCTATGTGTTTCACCATAATGACTGTATTCGTGACACATTGAAATACATACACAACAAGCACCATGACTCACCGCAGTGAATCAGGAGGGACTTTCATGGAGGCCAAACTGACGTGGGTCAGACTGAACGCCGAGCTGAAGAACTGACGGAAAGTTGGCAGAGAGTCTCTGGCTTTCCTGGCGCAAGACACAAAACAAAAATGGTGTTAAAAATGTGCAAAGATAACAAAGCTGGAGGTCGTCTGAGGCCGATATGAGTAAGGCAGATAATGAAGGGAGGTGGGAGGATGATGACAGACAGTGAAAAGATGACACACTTATCTACTGTGTCAGGAAGTTAGTGACAGGATAGAGAGAGAGAGAGAGAGAGAGAGAGAGAGAGAGAGAGAGAGAGAGAAAGAGAGAGGGGCAGGGGGTGCAGGAGAGACCCAACAGATGCTCAGCCAGTATTATTCTAAGCAGACACTGTGATAAGGTGAAGTTGGCATTAATTACTGCCACGAGTTTAAAGGTAATACTGACCAATTAGCCGACCATCTGCCCAAATGTCTGAGCCTGGCAACAGCACAGGCACAGCGACAGGGAGCAAAGCCTGTGTGTGTACAACAAGACTGCAACATTAAAGATCTATCTGCGGACAGCACGAAGAGCTCTGCATTTAGGAGCTGTCAAAAGAAGCCAGTGCGCCAGTGTAAGGACCACCTAACAAATAGATCACCACAGGGGGTGAAGAAAAGAGAGATGGAGACAGTATGACAAAGATAGAAAGTTGGGCAACAGGGCAGACAGAAGGGGGTCGAAAAGAAATGGTTTGTTTTTGAGAAATACAACCAGCTTTCTACAAGCATATGAGTTTTATCTCAGGGCAGAATCAACTCATGAAATTGGACTAGTACGTAGACAAGTCAATTGTCAAGTAAATTTTATTTGTAATTTAAGGGCTTAAGGAGATCACAAGCATTTACAGGTCTGTCATATACTTTGGACCTCTACTGTTCATAGAGATTTGTGGACCAAAAAATTATGATGAGAATTTAATTTGTGTGAGGGACTGGACACCAAAGTAATGCTTGTAATACTTTAATTCAGGGGTGTTTGCAAGTCCAGACTTTTTTCATCAAGAGCCACATATCAAAACAGAAGGGACAGAAGTGCTCAATACAGTGACTATTTGAAATATGTGCATTTTAAAATTGTATTCAAGCTTAGGTCCTCAAAAGTGCACACTAAAGATTTAATTTTGGCTTTATCAATGTAGATTTTCAAAAAACTTGCAGTATAAAGTACTGTTCGAGATAATTTGAAATTCACATGGAAGCTTGAGGACCAAGAAAAATTGGTCTGGGCTTGCATTTGGTCCTTGGGCCATAGTTTGGACATGCCTGCTTTGATGCTTTGTAAAGCTTTATTTTTAATTAGTAATGTACTGTGTTTGAGCTTGTTTCGTCCATTAATATGTTTTGCTCTTGATCCACACTTGTTGGTACATTAAATTATATATGATTCAATTTAACATTTGTTTATATATATGTGTATATATATATATATGTATATAATATATATATATATATATATATATATATATATATATATATATATATATATATATATATTTTTTTTTTTTTTTTTTTTACCATTTAATGTGTGTGTGAAGCATTTTGTACAGCTGGTGTTCTTGAAAATGTGCTATAGAAACAAACAACACATTGACATACAAGACAGAGTTTGATTGAATGTTGAATCAATATTACAGCATTTTTAAAAGTTTTATTATGCCAGAAGGCCAAAAGGCTCTACTTGTAACCCAAAGATAAACATCATCTGAAGTACACATGTCCAGGCTGTCCATTCACTGCAGTCCACAACTTTTTATGCAGCTGCCTCTAAATCCTCCCAGTTTTGAATCTGGCGCATGTGTCTGGCACAGCTGCTTAATTGTTATGAGAGCCATAATATGAGAGCCTGAAAGCATAACCAGCAATCACTGCACACTCTCATTTAATGCCCATTGAACCAGGCCTCATGTATAGCTGACACCAGGCTGCTGTCACACCTGACCCAACACCATTTGGATAATGGCTGGGTCATGATAACATTTTGAATCTGTCTGTCGGCCCAGTAATGTGACAGCAACAATTAACAATGGAGAATAGCCATATCAAACTCCATTTTCTGTGTCCAAACACCATTAGTTTATCAATTATGGAGACAGATTATGAGACTGAAATTTAACAAGAAAATCAGCCCATTTACACTTCAGCTCTATCTGGAGCTAAGCAAAGTACCAGTATCTTAAATCAGCATACACAGAAACACAGCTTAGTATAGTTAGAGCCAATAGCATAATAGTGTAACAACTGAATAAGTGCACCACAGGTTTTTAATTTCATACAGTGGAACATTCCAGACAAAGCAATAATATCTCCACAGACAAGAAGGTGCCGGACCCCATACCCGAAACAAGAAAACATAGAAATGTGTTAGTTTTAAAGGGTTAAGACAAAATATTCTCATATTGGAAGAAGTTGTTCCATATTAAAAATGAAATGATGTCTGGCCCCAGCCTGCTGCCTCTGCTCCAGTGATCACCTCCCTTGTGGGGAGCAATGGCGTTTTGGACTCACTTGTTATGATTAGCATGCAGCCTGTCAACATACACTGGATCCAGAAGGGCTTTTGTCGCATAAGCAGATCCAGTGTCAGTGTCTTTCAGTGAAAACACCCTCCAGAGAGCTGCCTCAGCAACTTGTTAGCCATGCACACATGTCTGTAACCCAACCTCCATCAAAGGTGTTACAAGTGTGGCTCTATTCGTCTCTGTCTCTTCTATATTCATAAGCAGTCAGGTGGCTCTTATCAGTGATGCTCAAGTTGGCTGCTTCATGTTTCACCACACATCTAAACTTTGTGACCAGTAGCGGTGACCCGGAGTGCATTTAATAACACACAAGCTGCAGGGGGCGGTGTGAACTTGGGACTTTGGAGAAGCAGAAAGATACAGAGAGAAAGTGGTAGCCAAGGGTATGGGAGCAGACAGAGGAGGAGGTTTAAGAAGTTGTAATGTAGTGGGAAGTGAGCCACGCGAGCTGTGAGAAATTAAGTGGTAAATAAACAAATAATCAGCCAGTAAAACAGCAGAAAGTCACAGACGCAAAAGTAAAAATATATACAGACATCTTAAACCTTTTTCTAAGATGTCTGTAAGACGATGGGGCTGTATGTATTTCCCAAAATATTGGCAGAGTTTATCAGACATTAGCTGCTCTAGAATAGATTATGTACACTGATCATGAAAATATATTTAATCAGACAACTTCTACCATGACTGTAACTTGAAGAGTATTATATTGGTGAATATGTTCAATAGAACTATGTTTTTCTGAGGTACAGGGGTGCCAAAAATATAGAAAATACTGTTTTAATAAAGAGATAAAGATTCATTTCTGGTGGTCAGTGATTAGCTTTGGTCATTATAATTGTCAGTTTGGAGTAGAATTCAGCTTGCTTAATATTTTTTCGGGGTCAAATTATAATGATTAAAAGTCTGTATTGTTTATGTTCCATAACTTGATTTTAAAGCTGATTTGTATTTGTACAAACAAAATCAAATAAAAAATTCCAGATCAACATGAGGGAAAAAAATCATATCTAGCCCCAGAGACTTGTTCTTGTCTGATGGATCATGCTGAACCACTAACTTTCACGTGAGGTAAATTAAACTGCAATCCTGCATAAAATAAGTATTCCAAGCTTAGCAAGTGAAAGGTCACAGAGAGGTCACGGAAGTAAAGTTACAAGATTGATTCAGCCTCCAGAATAACTATGAGAGGCTAAATATGTATGCCCAGGAGCCCAGGGATTAGAACAATCATTGTGTCTAAAATTAGGCTCATTTTTCACAAACTTATTTCAGTGTAATTCGGTAACGTGATACTGTGAGTGGGGAAGCTCCTGGGCTCTCGGGGGACAGGATGAGAGCTGCTCCTTCCTGCTGCTGTGGAGGTAAACAGCGGTGCACAAATAGACTCATGGGCCACATACATGAGTCAACACTAAATGAACTTGTTAACAAATGAAGACGCGTGTACATTAAAACACTCCTACGCTAACATGCTGCTAAGCTACACACTCAGGTCCAATAAGCAAGCATTTCATTATGTTTGGCATCTCTACAGCAATGTGGTAGAGTCACAAGGGGAAAAATTTAATGCGCTTGTGCAAAGGTTAAAAAGTTCATTAGAATGTAAAGCTTGTGGAAACTAAGCACCCACCTGTGAGAGAAGGAGTTCTTGGACAGGTTCAGGTAGGATAAGTCAGCACAGCAGCCACGCAGCAAAGCCCCAAACAGCTGTCAATAAGCCACAGGGAAAGAAACAAGCTAATTAATCATATCATCTAGATGTCAGTGTATATGGTTGCTTTGGGTCAAAATACTCTCAGACCAGCAGCAGTCTTTGGAAATAGACACATCAAAACTTGTAGCATTTGAGCCTTCTGCCAAGGCACTGGTTCTGCTTTATAACTGCTAAAATATTGTGGTCAGCCCTAGAACTAGACTAAACTCCAAGATTAGCTAGTTTAGGGGTAAATGCTCCACCTATTGAGCTTCAAAGATGGAGGCAACTAATATGTATCTACAAGAGATGCATAATAACAGGATTACATTCATACCATACTCCATACAACCCTTATATAGATAACCTTCTGTCATGTCAATCATTATTTCTCTTTCCACTGTTTTCTCCTTACAACCTCTTCTATATAGCTGAAAGATTTGTATTACTATAGTTCTATATTTTTAATCTTTACTTCTGCATATATGTTTATATAATTATGCCTTATTTGATACCAGACTCTTGTTATTTTTGTTGCTTATTTTGAATTTATTACCATTTATATTTTTGCTCTTTGTTCTTACAATACATTGTGAAATGTGAGCTACTGTGTCCAAATACTTTCCCTTGTGGATCAATAAAGTGTGTCTGTCTTTAAGTCTAAGTCTACAAGTGCATTTTATTAACTGCATTTTGTTTTCTGTCTTTGACCTCAATGAAATTCTGTCTTTAAATCACTGTAGCTTTAAGCATTTTCCCACATTATCCAAAGATTTAACACTATGCTGCATATTAAATTGATTGTGCTACTTTCCATCAGTTTGCAGGTAAAAAAAAATGTGCTCTGTCACCTCTGTCGCTGCTTTCTGCATCCACGGTGAAAAGTTCTGCAGTAAATCTCACTTTCATCTATTAAAGTGCATATGAAATGACGCTTTCATATTATAAAGATAGGGCTCACAGTGTGGCTAAAACGTTTAGGAATTAAAAAATTGAACATATTGACAGCTGTGAGCCAATTAATCTTGAAATAAAGATGATATATGTGTGTTTGTCTGACAGGGTGGAGCTCCTGCAAATATAATCTACATCAAAACCCAATTTCTCTCAAGACTTTTTTTAAATCATTTGAGATGAGGTTAAAGTGTAGGACAATTCTATTTTTCCAGAGGCAGTGTCATCAATCAAGCAAATTGACTAATCGACCATTGCTGCTACAGATTAAATACAGGAACTTATTAATAATTCAATTCAAGACATCAGCACTAAACGGACACTTTCTCCCCAGACAGTTCTTCTCTTAAGTATTTACAACAATTACGACAACAGGGGGCAATCTAAGTTTAAAGGATAACAATAAAAGTGTGGTCAAAAACTGAGAAGAAGACAAAAATAAATGGGTGAAATGACTTTCACTGATGCCCATTATAAAAACAAAAGCCATTCTCCATTTCAGCAACCTGAGTTTCACAAGGTGGTGGACTATTTCTTGCATGAGGAAGTCAGACAGCTTCTGTGAGTGTAATGGTTTGAGTCCAATATGAAAACCAAACAGTAACGAAGAATTGTAGGTGCCAGTTAATAGGAAAGAAATTATGAAGAAATAGCAGTACTAAATCAAGCGTATAGTTTAAAGGGAGCGGTGAGACAGTAAGAAATAGAGCTTAGCAACAACTTAAGCACTATACAATCTTGAATATTTATTCTCCTATGCGGAAATGCCTTGCGCTCAAAGCAACTGCAACCATACATTTCCTGAATTACCGACCATTACCTATAGCATTGGGTAAACTGTTTGATCCCTGCTACAGTAATGTATATAGCCAGTATATAAAGAGGCAAAACACTTCTCTCCTTGCCTTATGTATTGTATTAATAGGCTAGTTGCTGAAAAATAAATTTTAAAAATCATAATAATTTTGTGGAGTCTATATTTTATTTTATTTTTATTTTTTAAATGTCTTCATGATCTGGTACTTTCTTATTTATCTGAATTGCTTACTGTGCAAACTCCAGGCAGAACACTCAGGTCATCGGACCAGCTGCTTAAACCATCCAAAGGCCAGACTCAAAACTAAAGGAAACTATGGAACTAAACTATGGAACCCCCCCCCCGATACACATCAGAGCTGCCACTTCCCTGGAGAGTTTGAAATTGCTGCTGAAAACACACTTTTTAACACTGGCTTTAAATTTAAGCTTGGGCCCTATCTTGCCCTCGATCTTAGCACTAGTGCTAGCGTTACGGAGAGGGCGTGTCGAGGTCATGCTGTACTCCACTGCTGGAGGCTGGAGTGGGACGGTACAGGTACATATATATGGTGATGAGATCTGAACCAATCTGTGACCGCTGTAGCATTTAAAAATCACTGCTGGTGTGGGTAATGTCTGCAATCTTTGCTTCAATACCAGGAGGCAAAGAGAGTGTGGGGAAAAATTATACATGGGTACAATAAAATAGCAAAAGGTTACCTGTTAACTCAAGGTTAACAGGTTAACAAAAGGTGGAACAGAGCATTTTGAGCTTTGGAGACGTAGACAGACTAACAATAAAGAGTTACTTAAAGATGCATGAATTAAACACAACACAACTCCAAGTACTTTTGATTGTGAGGCGGTAACAGCATTATAACATTGCTTAAAGCTCACATGAGTCGGTTTTGTGTAATATACCTTTATACTTTATGGACCTTTAACAACAAAGTCTCACCACTAACTGTACCCAAACAATTAAATTAAATTTGTTGTATTTACCATTAACCAGATCTAAACAATGCAAATGGTAACAGCAAACAGTTTAAAACCTAAAACCTAGATTACAGTACTCTGCCAAAACTCAGCCTCATCACTCTGTTAAAGAGACAGGCTAAAAATAGACCCGCAACAAACACAAAGATAAAGTGTCAAAGATGTGAACAAAAGGCTGCATCAAAGGCTCTATTCCTGCCATGTTCAAAATCTATTATTTATAATAGAGATACATTCTATTACAGGGTATTCTGCAGGCTTTTCAATGGCTTTAAGTACTGGGTGCCACATAGAGGGAAAGAAACTGCCAGTAGGTACTGTAGTACATTTAAAAGAGGCAGTTTTGTCACTATACCAAAACACGATTTCCATACCAAGGAAAAGTCTCGATACTGGATACAAATTTTGATATGAAGCACACATTTTTTACATAAGGGATTTTATCACAGATTGGTAGTTTCTTGAATATTATTGTGATATTGTTCTAGTTTTGATGGATTAAACTAACTTTGCTTTGCTATGAAGGGCCTGCTGGTGCCATGATTCTATCAGTCTACCACCACCAAACTGTCCTGTATCTTTCAGTGTCTAATGTCTATATTATTCCAATCTACTATATTTTAAAACGCATTTATTCAAGTAAAGAATAACAAAACGATAGGGAAACCAGTGATAGTAGTAATGCAGTCAATGTAATATTCCAAATTTATGCAAATTAAAAATCTTTGCAGTTATTATTTGTCTACCTGAGTAATTGCATATTTCATAACTTTCTATCTCTCTCTCTCAACAAGGTCAGGCAACAATCAAATAAAGCCAAGTACAAACCGAGTCCACGGTGCAGTCTGTTCCCGACAGATCCAAATGAACCAAGCAGTTAGGCTGAGCCAGGAACAAGTACAGATTCTGAAATAAAAGTCAATATTAGACATGGTGCAAAACAACAACAGCACAAAACAAATCAAAAAGAACTTTCTGCAAGAAGCTGTAGAGGCAGAAAAGTAGAGAAATGTAGGTGGCACAATGTGGGACCACCACCATAACACAAAGGTTCAAATATATGCTTGAAGTCATGTTTCTTTCATTTTATACCTTATATGCTCATACTAACTGAAAGTATAGCTACAAAACATATATATTTTCCTAACCGTGGCATCATCTCCAGACAGTACACCAGGGTTTTTGCTCAAATCCAGATGAAGGAGTGAATTGGAGTAGTCATCACTGGAGCACAATGCCTGAGACAAGGAAACCACTCCTAAAAACAAGAAGACACACATTTAGTATTGCTGTCTCAAGTAGTTTAGCAGCCTGGAGTCAATTAATCCTTATTTTTCAGAGGGCCAGTCTGATGCTCCTGATGCGACTTCCCGGTGAGTCATGAATAAAAACAACACAATGCTAGCCCACTATGAGGCAAAGCATAATTGAGCAGGGACTGGAGAGCTCCATAGGCAGCTGGTAGAAAAGCGCTTTTGGAAGGAGGCAGCCAGCAACCTTTATTTCTCTGTATCACTATCCGAGTCTCCCCTGAAAGCCCAAACAAAAGAAACTCATTCGCTCAAATTAGATCACTACGCAATTACACCCACAGGCTCGATGGAACCCCTCATTAAAATCCTCACCCCAAACTCTGACGCATTGCTCTAGTTTAGAATTAAATATAGACTCAATAGCAAAATAGGACCAGGCCACCAATCATGAAAAAGTTTACGATAGCTGTTAGTTGTTGGAATATGTGTTAGCAGTTGGAATTGGAGTGAATCTTGGCCTTTTTTTTTATTACATTACATTATTTTATTACATTTACCAAAGTACTGTTTTAAAGTTATATATTAATGTGTCTCTTAGCAAAGTATGTCTTAAAGGGTCTGTGAGGCCATGGCAGGAATATACTGTAAATTAGCAGTCTCCAACCTTTTTCCTCCTGTGAGCTACTTTTTTATAAAAACAAAAACGCCAGAGAGCTACTAATTTTAGTAGTCGCCAGAATTTTATAAATATAAGAGCCATGGTAACCCGAAAATGAGGTACAGTTAGATGTTTATAAAAACGTAACCCATTATCCAGTTATCAGTGCACAAAATTAGGCATCAAAATTATACATTTACAAAGGAAATAAGCATTTAATCTGTCAAATTTGACTTAACCGTCTTGATGTCATCCTTCGCCTTGCTTCAGGTCTCAGCTCACACTGACCTGACTGACATTGCTGTGGTAGGTATAATATTTTTAAAGCTCACAGGAGTTCAGACACAATGAAAACATCTGTCATCTTTTTTTTCTATGTAACGATTTATGTTGATATAACTTTTTAGATTTTAAGTTGATCTATTTGAAATATGTTATTTATAATTCTTTTGTGAGTGTTCCATATGTGACTCCTTGAAAACAGGCGTGAGTCTGCCACAAAGAGTACACTCACTTGCGAGGCTTCCTTTGCACTACCATATTAATAATGTTTAATAATGTTTGACATGGGCAATATGGACTGTAAAGAAAATGCTTATAGAACTGTTTTTCTTCCTATGCATTTGACTTTGAAGGATTTAATAATGTTTACCTTCTTTGAGCTCAGACAGACTAAAAGCTATTCACCCACCCACATACTGCATGTGATACTGCACAAATGAGCAAGGTTTTAACATTGTTGTAAAGGGCCCTGGATAGAAAAAAAACAAAAAACTATAAGGATTCTTTGTATTTTTGTGATTCATCTGTCAACAGAATTTACTAATTAGTGGAAAATGTGATGCTTCATATTACTATTGATTTGAGGTCATCTGCAGCAGTGTCTGGAGAGAAGCAGCCAGAGTGTGCCAGTCTGAGGCGGGCTAAGCTCTTCATCCCTAATTTGTGGTGATTAGGCGAGAAATGGGGGAATGAGGGAACGCTGCATCTAATCCCTCTTCTATCTACCCATCTATCTATCACTCAGTCAGTCAGTCATCATGGGCCCTGTGTGTGTGATTGAGTGTCATATGTATCCATGCCTGTTGCCTTTTTAATTATATGGCTCATTTTAGGATGTCACACATGTAGGTGGTTCAGAGGCTCAAGGAACAGCGGAGGAAGAGACAGTTATAAATATGTAACAAAAATGTGCCCGTGATGTCATAGCAACACCTACTCCACAAGGTCGCCCTCTCTACTCCTCTCTACCAACCTGGCAGTCCAGCAGATTGGATTCACAGATGCCCACTCACAGTGTAGCAGGGTTGTGTTACTGTGTACTGCTAGGCAAAAGATTATGGCCACAAATTCAGCATAGCACCTGGTCTTGGTATTTGGTCCATTCAAGACAGAGAGACCCCCCAACAAACAATACTGCAGCTCAGATAGTTCCTGCTGGGTATGCTGGTGTATCAAAAAATATTACCACAATAACAGTTAACTATAATGCTCTGAGGCTAACAAGACATAAAAGCAGCACATCCTACTAAAGGTGATTTTTATTTAAATAGAAACACATACATAAAAACTATTAAAGAGAGCATATTTTTTCTTTATTATTAACAGTATAATATTTGTTTGGTTGGTTGCAGAACAGAATCATAGATTTGAGTGGGATGATGGGAACCAAAACTAGGACACAGCACTAATGCTCAGGATTTATATAGAAAGATCTACTACTGATTATGACCAGAGTTTATCGGCTTGATAGAGCAGAAAGAACACTGTTGAATGTGTAAAACTGCATGTGGTGCAATGAAGAGATACAGAGTGTGAAAAGCAAAATAACTATAATACTATAATACTATACTATAATAACTATAATACTAAATAATTAATTTTAAATGGTAAATGGTAAAACCAGGTAAATCATCACAATCCCTATACCAAAATGTATATATATTAAAAAAAAAAAAAAAAAAAACACACTTAAAGTCATGAAAAGATTTCCAAAAACTAGTAAGGATATAAACATTTACAAATATTACCCAAAGTCTGACAGTTTAGGAAAAATAACCAAGACACTCTATAACACCATGACAAGTTTTATATATAATTAAAGTGAGAAGAGTAATTGCATATATACTGTCATAATAATACACAACCACAAGGAGCCGCTAGTGGACACATACCTTTAGATGAGAGAGAGGTTTTGGACAGGTTGAGCAGACGCAGCCCCTTGTTGAGGCGACACACTTGTTGAATGAGGTTGGACACACCTAAAGAGTACACACACAGATTGAGTATAACATGTGACAGATACACACAGTCTCTATAACATCTAAAACACATTGCTTTACCAGCTCTGACCCTGCATCTTTACATACACACTCCTACAAGGAAGACATCCACAAATAGTACAGAACACACCAGAAAACACCAAAGTCTAATTCACAATCTAACACTCCCTCACATGAAGCAACAGGCAAGGAACCCCATATACACCACCATATGTCAAACACATTATGCAACACCCGATTCAGGCTACAGCAATCTCAGTACAGACATTGCTGCCATGTGGATAATAAATAAACTGGCAAACTTAGTAACTATTTTCTCAACCTTATGGATCATATTTAAACTCACTGCCTTTGAAAGTAAAAATGTTCCAAATGTTCTTATTCAAGAAATGACCAATGAGTATATGTCCATTTTTGCTTCAATTAAATTAATCTATTTGTACAGTCTTGTCTGAATGTGGCCTTTTCTATAGAAAATACATTTTGGAGCTGTAGCCCATTCAAAGACCTAAACGGGGAGAATTATGATGCTGTTTTTGGAGGAGAACCTCTGAAATTTTTCTTGTATCTTAACCAGCAGACGACTAGTCTCAGCAGGCTGCATGTGGCCTGGTCTGGTCCATAAACCCTTTCTGGTTCATAAGATATTTCTATAAAGATTGATGAAAGGTCAAAGAAGGATCTGAGCCTGATGTAGCCATAAGCCATAACACCCAGACGTCAACAAATTATCAAACTGAACTGTATCAAAATGAACTTAGCACACAAGCAGTGTGTCAAACCTGGTTCAAACTAGTACCTCGCCAGTGGAACCATGAATTCTAAGACAGCAAAGAAGCATAATACACTGTTTTCAGAGAATGGTGAGAACGCAGAAAAATGTGAGTAAAAAATAAAGCAACATGTCAATGCACATTGAGTTATTCAAGTACTCTGCAGCATTTCCAAATGAAACACATTGTTGCTGCAGCAGAGCATGAGCAGAGCAGGCGTTCTCAGCTCTCTTCACATGTAGACTGCCTCAATCTGTGAATGCCCAAATACATAATGTGGCAAGTGTGAGCACAAAGACTGTTGTGAGGAGAGTGAAAGTGACACATGTCAGACGAGAGACAGAGAATCAGTTAATGAGCGATTCTGACTCGCGGGTCGTGTGAGCCAAAAATACACATTCATAAGCTCGTTCACACATTTACATTTAAATAATTACAATTCAAAGAGCAGACCTCCATCAAGGCATTGATGAGATTCAGTTGTAGTATACTGCCCTAAGCTTTATTTGAATGAAGGATTTCTGTATAAAATATATGCACAACAAATGCCAGCTATCTCACACTGACAAAAACAACAAATAACAAAACCATCTCGAGATTGGAATAACAATCTTTCACTTGCACTGAACCTTTCACAAAGTTTTTGCTCATGCTAACAGGTAGCCCACTGAGAAATTATAATAACTACAAGTTATAAAAAGTGATCACATTGTCAATCAGGAAAATCTTTGTCTGTCTTTCAGAATTACTCAAAATCCTAGTAAAAACTTTTTTTTTTTTAAATTGGGAAATAAAGACAATTGTGAAATATAGTGCTTTAACTGCAAATAACTGTAAGGATAATATTGAAAAAAGAGACCTTAACTCAAGCTACAAAACACTCACTACAAAGCATTAAAGATGAATGAGGCAAAACAAGTGTAATACAGACTGCATATAGTGATAGATTGATTTTGTATTCCTTAAGAGCAAACAAAAACTATAAAACAAAACTCATGAGAGACTGCAGCACACATAATAGTAGCTGCCACAGAGTATTCAGGAGGTGTACCTTGGTTGTCGAGCGTGTTATGAGCCAGGTTCAGAGAGTGGATCACTGAGGCCGGGTTCTCTGACAGAGCAGACGCCATCTTCTGTGGAAAATCCCTGGGGAAAGAGAAGTTGAAAAGAATTTCTTAAGTGTGGGATATTCACTTTATCTACCTCTTCTGCCTTAAACCAAATCCATTTTGCACTCTCTTATTCACCCCAAAAGTGAGTGTTCTATAGCTCTGCAAGACACTTTTCACTTGTGTGCGCCAATCGAAAAAGTGAACAAAGTGCAGAACATAATAGCTGAAAGGTTTCTTGCCAACTGGGTACTGGAGGTATTGTATATTTTATTCTTTAAATACTATTAATCTTTTTAAATCTATGAATTTGTTTTAGCATAAAGAAGGACTTTAATATATTTCTTTGTGTGTTCAGTTGTGACATACACATACATACCCTCAACATGACCAAATATAAATGCTTGTTGTATGTGTGGAATGAATCTTTCATATTCTCTTATCCATACACAACTGTTTGGAAACGTTTCCTTCCAAATCAACATTTACTGAAATAAGACTTACAGCAGAATGACATGTAAATAGAGACTATTCACCAACATTATTTAACCAAACAGTCTTAAGCTTCTGTCGACAGTTAACTCCATCTGTGTGTGTTTGAAGGGGTTGAAGTGATGTAGCATATAGTGATATACTTCATCAATCACCATTATAGTATGTTATTTATTATTGTGAACTGTGCAGCTGGCCAATACTGTGATAATCACTGTATATCATTGGAGCACTCAAAATGCTCACTTGCAGGATGTTGACTAAAGGGTGTGATGGAGAAGAGAAAATTAGTCCTTTTCCAGAAGTCACAATGTTATGGCTGTAGATTTCAGAAAGTAACTCAAACATCAGAACTGAGTTATCGGCGCTGCAATCATTTTACAAAAATCCAATACTCAGCTGCTGTATATCAGGCCCTGTAAGTCATACTCCTACAGGCATATGACATTTGTTCTCTTAACTTTGAGTGCCGCGCTAGTAAAAAACCTATCATAAAAATTGCCCTCTTGAATGCAACAGATTTAATACTCGGGGTCAATCAGAACTCTGTAACATCATTATTACTTTGCTGCAAATCATTATATCCAAAGGCAACTGTCCATTCATCTCAATTAACAGGCGATAAGGGAAGAGCCCTGCTAACTTATTCTGGCCATGCATACGAGGTGAGAAGTCATGCCAGATGAAGCCACAAAACTCAATATCATAGCAGAGAGGAAACAATTGATCTGCTGCGGGAAGCTGGAGGAAAGTTTAAGTGGTTTGAGCAGGTGAGATGAGGAGCGAAAGAGACGGGATCACAAAAGGTCAGGATAGAGTAAGAGAGAAGAAAACACAAGTTGAGGGTTGAGACCAGAGCATAGACCGGAGCAGAGACAGAAGAGAGACAGAGGAGAGCGGAGAGAAAGGGTAAAACGAAAATTAGATGGGACAAAAAAGGGATGACAAGGTTATGGCCATGTCAGAATGGGCAGAAACCTACGTCTTGAGGCCGGCGTTCTCCAGCGTGATCTCCTCCAGGCAGTTGGATTTGCTGATGGTGTGAAGGACCTGGTCCACAACTTCTGACCCCTGGAGTTAATAATAGAGGAAAATACTGGTCTTAATCTTAATGAAGAAGAGTCGAGTATTTATAACTTCATTAAAGATAAAATTTTATAATTTGAAGCAGGGCTTGATCTAGATCAAGGCTGAGTCATCCTCAGTTGTCAATGATATGCTTGGGTCTTTTTAACTGAGAGGTCTATAGCAATTCTGTTATAAAAGTAGCAAAAAATATAGCTTGAAGCAGAGTTCAGACTCTTGGGGGAAGCGGGGGGTCTGTGTGTGTGTGTGCACGTGTGTGTGTGTGTGTGTGTGCATGTGCGTGTGTGTGTGTTAAAGCTACAATCTGCAAGTTTATTAGATTTTTTTTTTTTTTTTAATCAACAGATATCAGATGTAACCCTCCTCCCTCCCCCCTCATTTGCCCCTTGTTCAGCCTCACCTGTGCTCTCTGGTCTCCTTCTGTCAGACCAAAGCTGGCCCACTATCAGACTGCAGCAAGGCAGAAAGCATTTAGTGGTGATGTGAGAATATAACAGGGGCAGATTGGCCAATTTAATTACAGATGGCAGCTTTAAATGACAGTTATTAACAAAATAGAATACTGTGAGAGGTCAATATGAGAGAAAAAATACACTTCATGTTTTTGTCATCCTGTGACATCCTAATTCTCATGTGTTGGTTTTGTGGTTTATGTGTCTTTTTTGATGTCGTTGATAGCTGTGTGTTTCAGTTGGCTGGAAAGCAATGATGAGATTCAGATTTGATTTTAAGGAAAGGTTACTCTTCAGTCAAAGAAAAAAAAATTATACTGATGAATAATTTTAATTGTATAAGACAAGCAAAACAAACAAGGTAAAAGATTCATTTTTGCAGGACTGTGAGAATTATGCTCTGCTTTGTGACTGTGATGTCCCTGAGCCCAGGTCTGAGCAATATTTATGTAACCAAAAGATTACATTTGTTTTTATTACACATGCCAAAATCAGACACATTTTGCAGCAATGACAAAGCATCTTTTAAAGCATTTTTCAGCTTTATGTAATATTTCCTATTGTGACCTAGAAGAAACTACCCAAACATGTATCATTTTTAGACCAAAGAATGATTCTGGTAATCCTTCCGGTGAGGTTTCACTTCCAATATTGTAACTTTAAGCCTGCCAAATGGCTGCTACACAAGCTGATTCAGAAACATAAATTCTGTTGGCATGAAAACTTGCATAGAAAAATAAAAGTGAAGAAAACTAAAAAGGGTTTGTAAGGCACATCAGGTAAAATATATATGTGAATAGATACAAAGCATACTTACAATACGCATATCTTTGCAGTACAGCTTGGTGAACCAGGTGTTGTATGCAATGGATGCCACAATAACCGCCAAGTCTCTGTAATGTAAACACAAACACAGCAGATGAAATCCTAAATCTTATACAAGCAAACTCCATCTGTTCCAGAGCAATTCGATTTCATTTATCTATAAATTCACATTATCATGAGCCAAACTTTGTCTGTGTTCTGTTTTGTAAAGCATACTTCATCATTGTGACAGTTAGAACACCACGGGTCGAGTTGCTTTCATAAAAATGACTGATATCGGTGGCGCGGCTCAGGACGAGAAACAGAGAATTAGGGAGGGAAAAAAGGAGAGGAGATGCTAAGATCGATAGCCTGGTCAATGGATTATTCACTAAAGCCTATGTTTGATCCTGGATACGCCGCTACATCCACTGCTACATAAACAGACACACAGATGGCAGAGTACATGGGGTTTATTAGAGAGAGAACCACCGAGAGTTTCAGAATCCTCTCAGGTCCAACTAAAGCAGGGCCGCGGCTACACCTGCCATAGATCATCTGACAAACAAGCCACAATGCAAGAGAGAGAGAGGCCAACAGGAACAGAGAAATACAGAACTGAAATGTTGGACTGCTGTGTACCAACATCAAATTCAAGTAAATCAAATATTTGTTGTATCACCTAAAATGATGTTTGTGTCTCTTCAAATGTGTATGGTTGCAATCTAAAGGTATTTAGCCTGCACTCTTACTGTACAACCTGTAATGTCAGAATCTAAACACTGAGGACACATAAGACTTACATACATGTTTAACAAACATACATGTTTGTTTATCTGGGGACACAGATGGGTTACGTTTATGAAATTTAAACTCTAAATTTGACTACTGTCCCTTCAATTCCATCACAATTATTCCTCTGTTAAATAACAAACGGTCCCCCTTATCTCCAGGGGGTCTTGTAGGAACACTGGTAACACAGTAACTCACACTTCTGCAAACATGATCTGAATTGCATCTGGTTCAATTATTCAATTTAATTTGAGCAGCTTATTTCAGCCTTTTCTAATGCTTCTGGTGATGTTTGAGATGTGCACCCTCAACTAACCCTCTAACACCTTCTGCATTTGAAAACATCAATTGCAAATCCAATCATAATTTCAAAATATATAATATAATATTTTTCTTAAATTGTTCAGCCCTTTTGTCTCATATGTTGTTCCCTAACCTGTTGGGGGTTGCAAATGGAAAAGAATGGCGATGGGAGCAGTAAAATCTGGCCAGGGAGTGTCCAATGCCAGTAACCGCAGTAGCCAACAGGACATTACAGTAAATCTCAGAGGAGTTAAATGGCCTCAGGCTGTTTCTTTTCCATTAGACCAGTCTGACAGACCTCTACAGCTGGGACTGTGTGTATATGTGTGTGTTTGTGTTGTGTGTGTTTGTGTATGTGTGTGTGTGAGGCACATGTCAGAATGCATCAGTGACATGGACAGTTGATTCACATGCTGACAGAAAGACATGTACGTGACCTTCATGATGTCTTAGTCACATCACACAGTATGCTATACAGTGAGTTCACTCTAGGCCACATCGGGAGAGGAACATGGTCTGACAGGTTCATATTTAAAAATTATACATAAATATAAGATATATTCATTCACATTCAGGGACTTCCACAATATGAATATGCTGACTGTTTTATGACCCTGGCTTTACTGAGTCTGCAAAAGGTTGTTATATTAGTAAAGAGTGAACTATGCAACTTGACTAGTGGAGCGTCCTCCACCTGCTGGTCTCCATATAGAAGTTATGGTTCTGTCTGTGTTCCACAGTACAACATTACACTACTAAACTATCTCCATGGAGACAAGCAAATTACAGATCAGATATTGGAGTGATAAACCTCCTCATAGCTAGAAAGCATATTTCTCATGGCATTTTTAAGCAATCAAAATACCTGTAATTAATTTAATGCTAAGAGATTCCAAAAATAAACACCTCCATCACTGCAAGATACAGTTATGGTATACTAGTACTATCTCAATCCACAAAGGACCTTTGAATCAACTAATTACTATCTTTTTATTAAAGAAAAACACTCACCCACACTCACGCACACACACACAGCCCTGGGAGGTACAACCCACTGAACTGAATCATAGTCGGCTGACTCTATTATTGCAAAGTAAATCAATGTCTGTAGTGGTCTGCCCTTTCCCGGGGCTTGTGAAAAGAGCAATCAGAATACAAACTTCCATTTAATTTGACTTTTGTGAGCCTAATCTGGAGAATTTGAAATCTGAACTTGTTGAACTTGATGTGATTCATTCTATGCTGATAGTGCTAATAATAATAATGCATTTTATTTCTAATGCACTTTACATTTGAAGGCAAATCTCAAAATGCAACAGTAAAAGAACAACAACAATAAAACATCAATAAACAGATTAAAACTAGAAGGATTTTTTATTTTTTTTATTTAAAATCCACTGTCTGTGGAGCCTTGAGTTACAGACGGGCAGCAGCCTTGAAGGCCCTGTCCCCCGAGGTTTTGAGTCGTGTCCTGGGTGGGAGCAGACGCTGCTGTTGGCCTGACTTGAGCTGTGTGCCGTGAGCAGTTTTGTGAGGTGGGAGAGGGCATCACCGTGGAGACAGTGGTGGGTGTGCAGGAGGACCTTGTATTCAATGCGGAGGTGAACAGGAAACCAGTGCAGGGTGCGGTGGACGGGGGTAATGTGCTTGTGTTTCCACACCATCATCCACACCATGTTCTGAACATACTGGAGCTTTTGGATGCTCCTGCTAGGGATCCAGATGAGGAGTATGTTACAGCAGCGCTATTGTACTATAGCTTAATCAAGTACAATAAGTACAAAAGTTTTTGATTGAGTTTTCAACTGTACTTTCACCATTCAATTCAAAGCAAAGATTTGTTCTTAATGTAAACAAACCCAACCCGGTTCAACATGGATTTATGCTTTCCAAAAACATCACATGATTTATTTATGTTTATAAGCGCACTAGAATTTAGAATCAAAATTTACTTTCTCCAACCATTTCAATAAAAGCAAGAAAGTGTGTGGAAAGAAATCACCCTGTGGTTTTGCTGAAGAAAAGGTCTGAATGTTTTCAAATCACAAAAGATCCACTTGCTGGATGATACATCATTTACAAAGAAAAAGGTAAAAAGCAACAAGTGTACACATGATGGTCAAGGAATTTCATGAATTTTAAATACATTCTTCAAATATACAAGACCGCTGTTTAGCAAACTAATAAACAACACAATAAGATGGAGTTAATGCAACATACTTGACTTCAGAGCAGTAGTCCAGAGTGGCCACTTACCCAGGTCTGCCAAAGCTGTCAGCCCCAACTACTGTGTGAGCAAGTATGACTCAGAGACACTGGAATAGAATGTAAAAGAGGTGGAGAAAATGCATGGAGCTTACACTGGGAGAATATTGAGAGGGCGAAACAGGGCTGCGGGCTAGAGCACAGAAGTGTCCACTGTTGAATAGCCAGAGATAGTGATGTGATGGACAGCAGGTATCCACTGGTTGCAGGTGGTGACAATGTTCAATAAGTAAAGAAATGGGAAAGAAAAGTGGAAAAGGACAAGTTGAGGACAAGGAAACTTTCCCCCTTTTCAGAGTTAACTTTAGAGATGGTCAAAGTGAATCATCTGTTTAACTTTATCATCTTTAATCTCTTCTCTAACTACTAACATCAGTTCAACTTACTTAAGATCCTCTTTCTCATAAAACTTCTGCTACTCAAAGGGAACCCCAAATTCAGTTATTTACCCCAATACGTAATCTGCAGTTGCAGTTTTGCAGTTTCTTATAGAGAGCAAATACGGTCATTTTTGCATCTTCTATTCTACAAATAGCTCCACCATTTTCTTCATCTGGTTTCAGCTTTTCCCTGCATTATTTTAGAGGTGCCTTTGTTAAACCTTTGCAGTCCATTTTTGTATCTATCTTGGGGCTATTGTAAGCCTGGTGTAAGTAAGAAATAGAGGTTTTTAAAGCCTGACTCAGCAATTTTCCATGCATATTTTATCATGAACTTCAATACGAGCAATGGAAAAACAACAATGCAAAGATTGTACCATTTTTCTGAATATGAAAAAACATTAATATATTCATGAGCTTCTGCAGCGATCACGCCTCTACAAATGCTTTTTTGATTTACCGACATGGCAAAGCTTCACCCTAGATATGAGATATACATTTTTAAGAGGATATGCATCTTCTAGTCATCACTACGGTTGTCGCACAGCGGAAAATAAGAGATTCCATAAGCAAGGATTTTCTAAACTCCAAACAATCTTCAAACTATAGACAAAAAAGCTATTTGCATGTCATTCATGATCGGCAGCGCAGCTCTAGTGAAAGCAGATCCTGGATATGTCAGTGAAAGAAATCAGGACTTTTTAAAAGATGCCAGCAGGGAGCGCCGAGGAGGAGACATGCTGTATCTTACAGCTGTACTCTGCAAGTGACAGGCACATCACTCCAACTGCTATGATCATTGCACACTTGTTACAAAATGCAACACAAGCTAGGGACAAGTATGCCAAAGAGAAAAATGAAAAAAATAAAAGTTATATTTTGCTTCTAACAATGACTGACAACATTAGGCAAGGTGGGAGTCTGTTGTGACAAAGAAAAAATCCAAAATGAAATTGTTAATTTACTCATATTGGACTTGGATAACCCGATCAAAACTGACAGACTTTTGATAGACAACTTGACAGCCAAGTTGCAAAGCGTCACCAATTCTAGGTCACATCACATCACAAATACAAATATAGAACTGAAGATCGTAAAAACACAAACAAGCATTTAAAGATGCAGTAGCACAGCGTAAGAAAATCGCAAAAGGATTAAAGTGATTTATACAGTGGTGTATCTTAATCAGGGTGGTAAGTTCAATGGAAAAATATATCTAAGTGCTGGTTACTACTGCGTATAAAGAGCTTTTAGTGTAAATTCTTTTCTCATCTCAAAATCTCAAATAGTGGGCCTTTTGGTGATTAACAACGCATTAGAAATCCTTGTTAATAAGCCTGCAGTAATCATTGGATATTTGACCTTTGGACAGCTTGTGTAGCTCAGATCTAGTTACACTTTGAATCATAATCAGATGTGTGTCTTTGAGGATTACTGTGAAATTCTGCCAAATAAATTAGTTTCTCTCCCTTTGAAGAAGCCTTTTAAGATTTTAACTTGAACTTCATAATAGTGGTTCTTTGACTGTGGCTATGGTCAGTAGACAATGTTACCTGCTGTCAAGATGACTGAAGTCCTGCAGGTTGAACTCTCTGTTGTCCTGAGAATGGTAGATGGTGTCAACATCCTGTAAAGCAAAGGAACATAGAAAAGAGTGTCAAACAATATGGCAGTAATGTAATTTTCTTTTATTTTTACGAAATTCCCTCATTTTATGTCTTTTTGTGATGTTTGTAGTAGTCCTTCATGATGCTGAAACTTATAGCTTGATTTCAATACAAAGAAAAGATTCACATCAGATTCAAAACTTCAATATGATGATAAAAAAAATATTTTTTTCCACAATACAATCTCATTCTATATAAACACAAAATAATAACAGTTTCTTTAATATTTCCGTGTGTGTGTGCTTACAATAGATCAAGATCATTCCAAAGCTCCAATATTGCTTTCTGTAATTATTTTCAGTACTGACACTATTGCATAATTGAGCATTTAATTTCCATACTAGTTTTCATTTTATTTGTTGTTTTACATGAGAATGTACATACATTCACATTAACATTAAGAACAGGACTAGGATGAAGATTACTTCAGAGGGGGTAGGTGATTCCAGTTATATTGCTTAGTGTCTGGGTACTGCTTGGTATCTGGGTATTGTTTTTGTAGACAAACTTAGTCTGTATAATGCGATAGGCTATGTGTTATATCTTGAATTTGGCACCTCGCCCCAATCGATAATAATTCTATTATTCCACCTAATCTGATTGCAAGTTAAGTGCATTTTTCACACATCAATAAAACTTGTGCAGTATCATACTGTTTCTCTGATCAGATAAAACAAAGACAGGACGTACCCACTGAACTTCTTCTTTGCAACTGATTCCATTATAGTCGCACAGTGCTGCATACGTCTCAGAGAAACCACCTGAAATAGAAGAGAAATGGCTCAATGTAAGGTCAAAAATCACAGTGTAATGCAATGAGGAAGGAGATACAGGCTAACTGAAAGAAGGAAACTGTGGAGTAGCAGCAAAAAGAGACATAAAAGTCAGCAGTGATGAGAGGAGGATTAGAGGAGGATAAGACTCGTAAATATAGAGGTGAGGAGAGAGCATCACATTATAAAGTCACTCCCTTACTAGATTAATGAGAATATACTCACAAAGACAGTATAACTTTATAACTTTAGACTCCTGACCCAGAATATAACAAGCCAAAAGATGTTAGTGTTAGTCAGAAAAAGGTTGGACTAAAAAAACCCTTAGTTCTATTGTAAAAATGTGTAGGTGTGTGCAAAGAACAGGCAGCGTGTGACTCACCACAGGTTTTCTGAGGGTCCAGGGACGACTCCGAATTTGGAGAAAATTTTTGGTTTCCATCAAGAAGCTCTTCCTCTGCTCGGCAAATGGGAGGACTGAAATGTAAAAGAAAGTTAATTGTACAGTAGCAATTTGGATTCTGGCACTAAGTAAATAGCAAGGCTTTATCCACTGGTGTGAGAATGATCAGAATCTAGGACTGTTGCCATAGTGCTTGACAAATAATTAACAAAATATGATGTCTTTTAACTGGGAGAAAGTCTGCAAAATGTTGTATATAACAGGAAGCTGAAAGGCATGAATAGAGTTTAATTCTCAGGAGACCATAAAACACACTCAAGGTCGCTGCTAAGTGTAAAGAATAAGCATTTCACTTTCTCACAAGCATCTCTGTAGAATCACATGAAGATCATCAAGATGAAAGTAACCAAAGTCAATAGTTTTTAACATTATGAATTATAAAAGTGAATCAAAACTAATGAACAATCTTTGTTATTTTGTAAAGAAAAGGAAAATTGTATGTTAAAAATGGTTAAATATGTCTGTCAATGTGACAAATACTGTACGAGCAAACATCCATGCATTTATGCAGACTTCTATAGATGAATCCTAATCCAGGATTCATGTGTTCAGGAACAGTGTTGAGTGACTCCATATCCCAAAGTTTAATAAAGGAAAAGTAGCTGTACTGAATATTTATGCTATTCTCAGATCAACTGACTGAGAGACATCAATTTGATAAGATATAAACATGTTTTTGCTCTTTGAACTAGTCAAAATGTATGGACTTTAAATACAATAAAGATAGCATTGTAAAAAGCAGCAACGCTGAGGTGTTGTCAGATCAGTAGAGAGAAAATTTATTATCCAGAACATGTGCAAATGAAACAAAACACAACAATATTATACAGTAGTTAAAAGCTGTCGGTTTAGCAAAATATAGACCTTCAAATATATACCTAGAACACTGTGCACCTGTAACTGTACTAAACAGTGATTGTACCTGCGTTGGCTTTTTGATTGGATTACACAACTACACCACGTACACACTCCTTAATCTCATTTGACAACATCTAGTCAACACCTATTCAACGACTGACCCAAATCCTCAACTTATCACGGCATCTTCATCTGGCCCTCAAGCACCAGCAGCACTGTCTTTACGCTATCGAGATGTTATCTGCTATACATAGTTCAATAAAGCTGTTATAAAAGGCTATGCAGTCCAATGTCCCTCTCACTGTTGGGCGATCTCTCCTTTTCTCCTTAAATGTTCTTTCTCAAAGCAATCATCTGCCATGACTCTAATGGAACTGAGCCATTTGGAAATATGATAGAGTGTGGAGATAGCTGTGTCCCGGTCAATAGCTGGAGCACAGTCAAGCCTATTCCTCTTAGAAAATGTACACGAGGCCAAGAGAGGAGAAGAGAGGAGAGGCACGTGCACTGGACGCTTTATCTGGCAGATAGGTACATGAGACAGGGGCTCAAGTGGCTACTAGGCATGGATTTCACCTTTAAGATTAGATCAAGTGTTTTTCTGAGATATTTTTGTCTTTCATTTTTACGAAGGGGCACAAACACTTTTCAGAATGAAGATTTCCTCTTTTTATTTTTAGGAAATAAATTTGAACCCATAATCAGATCAGAACTAATATCAGAAATAACCATATCTAACATATACTAGTATAACATTTGTGTTTTATGCTTTGACATATGTAACCTGGGGGATGCACCAAAAAATGTATGTCTCTTTTCTTTTCTTTTTTTTTTTTTTTTTTTTTTTTTTGCACATATTGATAGATCACAATTTGCAATTCAGTTTTTAGGGTTGTATTACAAAAATGGCTTTCAAGCATTTTAACTTCATCAGGAAAAAAATCTGTTATCTCTTATGGAACTCGTTTTATAGACAGAGTTTGGCTGTGGACCTATCAAATAAAAATGCCAAATTATTAACAACTACTGTACAAACGACAAAGGGTCAATTTCCATTAAAATTCCATCAATTGCACAGTCCTATCTGAAACAGTTGTCCATATTTTCTAACCATATTCCGCTGATATCGCTTACACATATAGCCAGATGTTGCTAAACCTATTCATCATCATCTGAGTTATTCAGAGAGCACTACTAATTTTCCCCCATAAACTGTATAATGCAGCATTTGTTTCTTACCTCTAGCTTCTCACTCTCTCCACACTCTGCTTAAATAAGCTGCTTCAAAACTACAACACGATGCCTCAAGGTAAAAACCACCTACTCACTTTGTGTAGCAAGGCTGATTTAAACACAGAGGTTATACGCTCAACGCACAAATAAGACCATATGGAAATGATGTATATGCTTTTGGACGTGCCTCTTGATGTTCACATGTATCCCTGCTCTCAACATGTCTACATTAAACAACAATGAGCTATGTATTTGTACTTACGCATAGATTGAGTTGTTGAATACTCGGGAAAGGGCAAAGTTAATGTGGCTGACCATGAGATCCAGCTGCTCCTGTGTCTGCAGTCTCAAAGAGTAGGTTGTCTTGTCTGTGTCGATAACAACCTGATGAAATATGACAGCATAGCATGTGTAAATGAGCAGCACAATTCACTTTTTAAGATTAAAAAATAAATAGCCAACCTGGTATTCTGGATATGTGTTCATTGCCCGGATTTCTAAGAAGTTGAAAGTAACCTCCAGCTGTAAAGAGCCCAAACCAAAGTGAATTCATTGTTCTTGTAATTCAAATCATAATTTCAAAAGCCTTCTGACTGTGTATTAAACATTTATATACTAAGGATTTCTTAGCACTCATAACATCAGAGTTTTCTTAATTTGTGAAAACTACCCAGCTCTTTCACTCCGCGAAAAAAAATTCTGACAAAGCCAACAAAAGCAAGCTATTCCATCAATCAGATTAACAAAAAAAAAAAACAATTTGCAGTTTGTAATTTTATTTTCTTTCAATCTAATACTTACAGAATACAGTTATTCACAGCTGCATAGAAGTTATTGCAAAAACAATTTATCTAAACAATGATCCAGCCTCATTAACATAATAATACTGTATACTCAAAGTTGTTTTTACGTCTCAAGTCACATTTCAATGCTAAAATGAGAATAATAATTCATACTGTATCAGCTTCATAACACAATTTTTGTACCCATTTAGCCTCTTATCCAAAGTGTTCAGATCATTGCTTATATTATTCATCATCATTATCCCGCCTTCTTTCGCTCATGAACTGCATCTTTTTGTTACTTCGCTGCTGAATTACCCTGAGATCAAAACAGGAACTAAAAGAGCCATAAAACTCCTTGGAGGGCTGGGGAACATTTACCTTGGTGGGCACTTTGACAGCGAAGAGATACAGTCGCCATGTAGCCAGAACCTGCGACAAAAACACATTCATTTTAGTGTCAAAAAGCAGGAAATGTGAAATGCAAATTGGAGCAAAAATAGCACGCGGCACAAATACCCAGTAAAAAGAGCAAATCATCTCGGCATGTTGGTTCTAAAGCTTCGTACGCTAAGCACTTCACACATTAAGCGGCTAATGAGGTTAGCATGTGTGTGGAGAAAACTGTGTGCAAGATTGTGTGACATCTGTCCAATTTACTGGGCGATGTTTGATGCTGGGGCTATTTTAAGATGTGTAAATACAGTAGACAAAGCTTTAGTGTAGCAATGTACAATAATATGTGAAAGAGTAAAATAACAAATCTATGAACCTCAAGACACTGGTAGTGACTCGTAAGTGTGAATGTGATGCCAAGATTTGGACTCTAATTTCTTCTACAGTATAAAATGTGTGACATAAAAAAAAAAGTGCTTAATTTATTAAACTGCTTTCCTAGATGTCGGTATTTGCATATTTTTCTTTGTTCAAACTATGAACATATTATACACCCTCAGCCTTTTCAGCAGGTCTTAAACCATGATAAAAAAATTTTTTTTTTAAACTTTTACTTTTCAGTCCATTTCAAAAATGTAGTGGAGTAGAAAGTACAGATACCTGCTCTTAAATATAGTGAAGTAAAAGTAAAAAGTATCCACTTTAAAATGTTCTTAAGTAAAGTACAAATACCTACAACTTAAGAATACTTTACTACTTTTAATTAACTATGTTCCACCACTGCCTCAAGTACAAAAATCTGTTTTAAATCAAATTATTTGTTCTGTATCTCAAAATTAACCTAAAACACTGCTGGGTACAGGCATTGTTTTTTAAACAGCAATAAATAAACAACCCTAAATAAAAGTTGACGTTTTCCATGGACGGTCTTCCATCATTAATCTCTCTATTGAGACAGGGCTGCCACATCGACTGCCTGTCCCCTGAAGATGAATTATTAGATGCTTTAGATGTGAACTTGAACAAAACTCAGCGAGAGAGAATGAGCAACAATAACACAACAATTTAAACTGCCAAAAATACATTTACAAGTGTATTGTACTGAGTGAGTGATAGAAACACTGACTATCTCTGCTAGTGCCTATGCAATTAATCCCATTCATAATTCACTAAGCTGCAATTAGCATACTGGCTACATACAAAGTGCATCTGTTCATCTTCTATAGCTTTTGTCTAGATGTTGGCCACACTCTCCCGATTGCTCTTTCTCTGCCCTCCCGCTTAAACCCTATTCCTGGATTGTCCATAATTCTTCCCAGCTTCTCTCCATCATTCCACATACCCTGCTTTCATCTCCATGGAAATCTGCTCATTTTCCTCCATCTTCTACCCCTAATCCTCCAATCTCTTCCATCGGGCCAATGCACCACGTTGGGCCCTGCCTGCTTTTGGTAACACCTCCGCTGACACTGGCGCTGCCCTCACACCCTCCTCTCCTCCACCTCTTCCTCCCAACTCCCCTGTCTCCTTTCCCATTGCAGTTTTTCTATTCTTTTTCTGCTCTGTCGCTTTCAATTCCTCAAGGTCTCTCCACGCTGAATGGCTAATGGCGCCCCGCTGAGTGGCAGAGACGGGAAGAAAGAAGAAGAGACGCACAAAGAAGACGGATGGTGATGGAGAGAGGGAGACAGAGAAGCGAGGACGGCAAAGATTTCCCTCCCGATAATAAAGTCTTCAGATTCCTTTACGCCATACTATGCTGACTGTGAGCAAAGCTGACCGCACACATCAGCTTGCTGTATGTCCTGGAGTTTTTTAACAGGCCACCAATGTTACAAAGAGGACCACAGTGCTGCGAATTACAATTACATTAATACAACGAAAGCAGACACACTCAGCCACTGAGAGAAAACAGTGATTATTGCTTAAATTAGGAGAGTTATGTCACTGTCAGTGCTTTGTTTCAGTTTATTTGTTAAAATGTTAACAAGGTAACTCAAACAAGAGAGGTTTCAGGGGAGGTTAAAGAGTATGCTGTAGGCTTGTAGTTAACAAAAGAAATCCATTATCGACCAAAGGCGTGCCCTGTGCATCAATGCATTGACTACAAGGGCACACAGCTACGCCTGGTCCGATAATTACTATATCGACTTATTGCATGGACCTTTTCTTTGCAAAAGTGGCAAACTGTTTCTGATTTGTTTGTAGTATAACATTTGAGCTGTCAGATAATTTACTTTGATGATCCATTAACTAACTATGTATCATTTTGCTATTTATTTATTGCAGCTTATCTTTTTTTATGTGTTGAGTTTGATTATTCTTGTTTATTGTAATACTCTGCAGCAATATATCGCATTCAACATTTGTTATTGTGACAAGCCTAGGCTCAGAGCGGCACTGGGAAAAGCTCTCAAAATTATTAGGATCTAGCACAAAAACACTAGGACTAGTAAACAGTGTCTTCATGAGTGAAAAGACATTAGCTGTGGTCCTCATAAATCCTTACAATCCCAATACAATAATTAGTTGACTAATAAAACATTTGGTCAGCTAAGAAACCATTAATCAGCTAAAGGACTACAGCTCTGGCAAAACAGATACTGGCAAAATTACAAGACTTCTTTTGTGAATAGATACCATTTGATTTGATTTGTAGTTGAATGAAAAGTGTAATATTTTTTCTTATGAATAACATATTTTACATAAGGAGGAGGGTAAAATGTTTGATCCACTGTAGAATGTCTATGCAACCTCTGGACTTATGTACTACAACACAAGCATAAATATATGGGACTTTTAGATCTACAAAGACTCATAATTCACTTTCATATGAATTCCCTATAATAAGTTAACACTAAAGGTCAGGACTGCTGCAATTATATTAGTTGAGATGAAGATCAAATTCACGTTTTTACAGAATGTACAAAACAACTTTCTACACCTTTTTTTTACAATTGGAAGTTAATAGGACTGTGCTGCTTTATGAAATAAGTCCATTCCTTGAACTGTGACTCCGATCGATACCTGGGAACATTGTCAGTGTATGATTTCAAAAGATACAGCTTGGAAATATTATTGTAAGTCAAATCAAGTATGAAAACTTTTGTTATATAATCTCAGACTTGTAGAGTTTGAGGCAGAAGAAAGAAAAATGTTTGAGAAAGTTCATATCAGTTCTTTTGTAACCTGTCTGAAAGTCTCGTCATGTAAAAGATGCATCAATAATTCAAAGCCCCAGTCCTTTTGATCTTCATGAGGCCTTCTGCATTGGGTTTCGACTGGTTTAAGATATCATCTACAAGCTATAGAGATATCATTAGACATTATCAATAACACAAACACTAATTTACTTCCAAGTGCAGAGTGTTAGAAAGGCAATGTATTAAAACTGTAGTGTGAAATTGTGGAAACTGAAACAAAGTCAAAGTTAAATAACAACATAATAGCAAATCTTTAAAACCATCAATTCTCAAATTGAGAATTTTTTTGCTCAAAGTCACTGTAAAAGGATTGTGTTTCATTGCAAGAGTAAATTCTAGCTTAAGCAGAACATGGTTAGACTACTAGAGAGCTCAAACAACACAGGAATAAATCAATTTAAACAATGACAGTATATTTAAATGTAAAGGACTAGAACACCATCCACACATTAAGTTATGTGTATAATAATAATTGCCATTCATAATTGTGTTTGTATTATGTGTAAAGAAAAAACTGAGAAGAGTACACCTGTTCTTGACAACAGAGCTGCTACACATAAATCAGTGTGAAATATATTGCAATAAATAAGACAATACTAAACCCACAGATTCGAGAATATGAGTAGATCACAGAAGGGATGCACCAATACTGAAACATTAGCTGGATTGGTTATCAGTTTCATGATAAGCTGATATCCTGGAATTGGATGTAATAAGACTAATTACTGATTTTGACCAAGAACTTATCATAATGCTTGAACTTGTGTTGAACTCTTACAAAGCTGTTCTGGAGTTATTTGAAGGATAAATAACAGTTACATAACACAAGTGGGTCTTTTGTGTAATAAGTTAACTGTGTTTTAAGAAAACAAATGGCATTTTCCATCCCTACACTGTTATCAGTGAACATCAGTATGAGTAGATACTTGAAGTCAAAGTACTGATATCGGTATCAGAAATGAAAAAGTTGGATCAGTGCAACGCTAGATCACAGTCCCAATAGAGAATCTATATGGGTAAGATGTTTTTGTACTTTTGTTTTATCTCTAGTGTATAATTTGTATGCTCAGAGAAGCCAAGAAAGTAAAACAAGAAACCTGATATGAGATTAACTGAGAAAATATGGCTGTGTATCGCATTTAAAGAACAGTAATTGCAAGATAACAATGAATACTGCGCTAAATAAAAGCTAATTGCACTTCTAATTTTTCTCCTGGCAACATTCCAGGAAAAATACCGATGTAAAGACCTAGGTAATACACATAACTCAGGTCCAAGGACTCTCTTTTCTGTCATCATCAAAGGGTATGCACTCTGCAGCATGTAGCGGTCAGACGCAGGACCAGCTGATATGATACGGAGAGGAGGCGCCCTTGCTTCTCCCAATGGCACAGTGTCAGAAACAGGAGAGTTCAAAGCCCTGAGCAGACCCTGGGAGGATGTGAGGGGCACGCTGGGAGACGTAGGGGTAGACAGCAGCTTGAAAACAAATAATGCATTTCTAACCGTCAGTGTGGTGTGATGGTAGAGGGCACCAGCTTATATTAATCATAAACTGTCAGGCAGCGAGGGCACTTCAAACAAGACAGCAAAAATGAGGACACCATATTGTGAATTTATTACTTAATCAATAAAGAAACAACACAAAGTAAATAAAACCCAGCAATGCAACTCCTAACTCTTCCCCTAATAATTAGCCTATCAGAAGGAACGTCAAGCAAACTGCCTTCACTATTAAGTTCTGATTACTGTTGTTTAGTCTGGTTTCATTTAGATGGTGTTTAGTCATTGTTAAGTTTCATTCACAGTGCCATATGTAATATTTAATGCCAT